CTGGTGGGCAGAGTTCAGTAAAACTTTAATCCACTTGTCTGCTGATGGGTGGGGCTGGGTTCCCTCCCTGTTGGTTGTTTGGCCTGAGGCATCCCAACACTGGAGCCTACCTGGGCTTTTTGGTGGGGCTAATGGCAGACTCTGGGAGGGCTCAAGCCAAGGAGTACTTCACAGAACTTCTGCTACCAGTGTCCTTGTCCTCACGGTGAGCCACAGCCACCCCCCCACCTCTGCAGGAGACCCTCCAACACTAGCAGGTAGGTCTGGTTCAGTCTCCCCTGGGGTCACTGCTCCTTCCCCTGGGTCCTGATGTGCACACTACTTTGTGTGTGCCCTCCAAGAGTGGAGTCTCTGTTTCCCCCAGTCCTGTCAAAGACCTGCAATCAAATCCCGCTAGGCTTCAAAGTCTGATTCTCTGGGAATTCCTCCTCCCATTGCTGGACCCCCAGGTTGGGAAGCCTGACGTGGGGCTCAGAATCTTCACTCTAGTGCGTGGACTTCTGTGGGTGGACTTCTGTGGTGTAAGTGTTCTCCAGTCTGTGAGTCACCCACCCACCAGTTACGGCATTTGATTTTACTGTGATTGTGCCCCTCCTACCATCTCACTGTGGCTTCTCCTTTGTCTTTGGATGTGGGGTATCCTTTTGGTGAGTTCCAGTGTCTTCCTGTCGATCATTGTCCAGCAGCTAGTTGTGATTCTGGTGTTCTCACAAGAGGGAGTGAGAGCACATCCTTCTGCTGCACCATCTTGGTTCCTCGCTTGATACTTAAATTTAAATCTGAAAAATTCATTAGCTAGTTGTATCAGGATACTTTCTTTGCCTTGTCTTTAATCCTGGGATGATTTTAGAAAATCTTAAATAGAAAGTGCAAATTAAAAAATAACACTTCAGGAGCAACAGGTATTTTAAAACTGTGTTTTTAACATAACAGTTGTAGTATCTTCATTTAAAAAGAAGTAAAGTTCTTTCCATTTGCCCTTCTGTTCTTTCTCCTAAATTCGTCACCAGTGGTAGTCATGGTTAACAGTTTAGAGTGAGTTTTTCCAAACTTTTTCCCGTGCATTTACAATCATGTATACACAGAGAACATAGCTAAAAGTAACACAGTAAAAGTAAGTGAAGCCTCATGGATTTACTGTTTCATAAGTGTTGACTCAAGCTGAAGCAAGCCTAGAGAATGTCAGGAAGCTTTCAGGAATAGAGTAGGACTTGTTGTTTACCTTCTTCTAAGACGTTGGCACTGGTAATCAAACCATGCTTCACAGCTTTGCCTTACCTCACTTACTGCAGAGTTCTATTTCTTCTGGTCATTTGTGTTTTTAAAAAATATTTATCTATTTATTTTGGCTGTGCTGGGTCTTTGTTGTGGCACGCAGGCTTCTTAGTTGTGGCATGCATGCGGGCTCTAGTTCCCCAACCAGGGATCGAACCCAGGCCCTCTGCATTGGGAGCACGGGGTCTTACCCACTGGACCACAGGGAAGTTCTTGGTCATTTGTTATCTTTTAGATTCTCTTGTAGTTACTACTCAGTTCATTGCCAAATTCTGATCTAGGTCCCCTCCCCTCATTCCCAAGCCTTTGCTATACCTTCTAGACTCCTCTGTGATCAGGAAGCTCCTCTATATCATCAGCCCTTCTTAGAATATTTGCCTCCTTGCCTTACGTGAAACTGGGCAGTTCCTTGAGGATACCACCTTCTCCATAGCCTCCTTCAGTGGTGTGGCAACTTTTTTCCCTTTCTGTTCCACATATTTCAGCACCAGGAAATGGGTGGATGCTGTCCTTGCTCTCTGTTGCCTCGTCCAGGCCATTAATACTTCCTTCTCCAGCTAAATTGTTTTTGTCCTTTGAGGTTCATTTTTCTAATCTTTCCCTGTTATGTTATTGCCCTCTCATTCATTGATGATTGGAGTTCTTAGTTATAAATTTAAGGCCTTCCCCTGTTGGCACTCTTAGTAATTTTGATATCTATGTGGATGTGTCATCCAAAAACTTGGCCTCTCAGTTTCTTGACTTCTTTATCTGCAGTGACCATTTTCTTCACTCCCCTTCAGCCATATAATTCACTGATCACAGGCTGGATCCTGGCCCATGGCATTACCAGAAACAATACCAGTTTTGAAATCTTGATGTTAAACATTCTATACCACTCTTTGCCTACCTCCATCTATTCTATTTTTTGAGTTCACTACAGTTTTCTGACCTGTCAGGGCTTATCCCTTAATTCCCTAATATCCTCACTGTTTATCCCATCAGCCCCCTCTTAGGTTTGGGCCTAGATTTTTATTGCCCATTATTTAATTGCTCCTCAGCGTATATTCTTCACTCTTTAGGTCTCTCCTTATCTTGGGTGAAAGATGATTCCTTCTCTATTGCTAGGAGATGGAATAGGTATTCTTCTTGATCCCCATTGCTTCATCCAGACATTACTTCCTTTCTCCTTGCTGAAGAAATCACCCAACTGAGTTCCAATTTAAATTCGTGATCATAAACCTTGGCAATTTTACTAGGTTCATTTAGTGGATGTGTAACCATTGCATTGGGGTTTGTAGGGTGTAATCAGAAAACAACTTTAGGGCTTCCCTGGTGGCGCAGTGGTTGAGAGTCCGCCTGCCGATGTAGGGGACATGGGTTCGTGCCCCGGTTCGGGAAGATCCCACATGCCGTGGAGCGGCTGGGCCTGTGAGCCATGGCCGCTGAGCCTGCACGTCCAGAGCCTGTGCTCCGCAACGGGAGAGGCCACAACAGTGAGAGGCCCGTGTACCGCAAAAAAAAAAAAAGAAAACAACTTTACTCTTTTCCTTCGTTGCCTGTTCTAAACTCTTCTCTGGGCCTGATTCTTTCCCTGGCCTTGTACAGGTTCAGAGTATCCAGGTCATTTCACTAATTAAAACGTCAGGTCCTGGGAATTCCCTGGGGGTCCAGTGGTTAAGACTTGGGCTTTCACTGCTGTGGACCCGAATTCGATCCCTGGTCGGGGAGCTAAGATACCACAAGCTGTGTGGTGTGGCCAAAGGAAAAAAAAAAGTCAAGTTCTATTTAATACGCTAAATTTCACTTATATATAATGTTCTCCTCTTCTTCAGTTGGGCCTGCCTTAGGCTTTGGAAGCCTGCAGTGGAAGAAGAGATTAAGATGGACATTGCAGGTTGTTTCCAGTTTTTTCCTGTTGTAGACAGTGCTGTGGTAAATATCCTGTGGAGGCAGAATAGTTTAGAAGTAGAGCATTGACACTGGATGTTTGAATCCCAGCTCTGGGATTCAACCTCTCTGTACCTCAGTTTCCTCATCTGTAATATGGGGATGATAATGGTATCTGCTTGATAGTTTACTCTGAGGATTAAATGTAGATTAATATGTAGAACTCTTAGGAAAGTGTTCAATAAATGTCTGTCATAAAAAGATCTTTGTGCATATATACAAATATTTCTTTTAGATGATTACATTTTTAAAATAGTGATTTCTTTTTGTACTTAATTATTTGTGAATGTCAGTAAATAAGTTGCCCTTTGGTGTAATAAAACTCATTTATCTTTGTATCTATTTTTTGCTTTTTCTTATACATTTATGATCATATAATATAAATCTTTATGGTTAATGCCACTGGTCTGATCTAATGCTGCTGTTCCCCATATTTTATTTATTTATTTTTAAATTTTTATTCATTAATTTTTTTGGCTGCATTGGGTCTTCGTTGCTGCGCGTGGGCTCTTTGGTTGTGGCAAGCGGGGGCTACTCTTCATTGGGGTGCGCAGGCTTTTTGTTGCAGTGGCTTCTCTTGTTGCAGAGCATGGGCTCTAGGTGCGTGGGCTTCAGTAGTTGTGGCACACGGGCCTCAGTAGTTGTGGCGTGCAGGCTCAGTAGTTGTGGTGCATGGGCTTAGTTGCTCTGTGGCATATGGGATCTTCCTGGACCAGGGCTTGAACCCCTGTCCCGTACATTGGCAGGTGGATTCTTGACCACTGCACCACCAGGGAAGTCCCTCCCCATATTTTATACATAGGGACCCCTCTTACTTTTTTTATATCTATATAGAGCTGATTACGTACAGTCTATGAAAGCTTAAGATTTTTGGTTCCAATAATATGTATGTAAAAATATGTATTTTAAGATATGCTATATGCTGTGGCTTGATTAACAGAAATGATGATGAAAGTTGACAGTAACAGTAAAAATAATGTCTGTTGTTATATAATGCTTACTAGTTCAAAGCTTAATATTTGTAAGGTGCTCTCAGATCCATATCACTAATAATCCTGTCTGTTATAACCCTTTACATTTAGCATAGCAAAACCACATATTTTATATTATTAATTTCTCCCAGTAACTCTGAAATAGGTGGGGGTAAACAGTCTTATTCTGGTATAATAAATGAGACAGGTTATTTGCTAAAGATATAATAGCTAGTAAGCAGTAGAGCCAGACTTGAACCTAACTTCTTACTTTTAAGTCAGTGTATGGGAACCATAATGAGTGACTTATGTGTTCCTGGACATGAGTGGTTCTCAGAGGTGATTTAGCCCCTCAGGGGACATGTGACAGAGTTTAGAGACATTTTTGGTCGTCGTAACTGGGGAGGGAAAATGCTACTAGCATCTAGTGGATAGAGGCCAGGGAGGCTGTTAAATATCCTATAATGCACAGGACAGTCCCTCACAACAAAGAATTATCTGGCCCCAAATGTGCAGAGTGCTTACGTTGAGAAACTGTTGTACAGTGACCATTGATGACATAAGATAAAGATTGTGAAATTTTGTTTGGTAAGATTTTACTGATAAGCAGCAGGTTAACTCCATAATTCAGTTTCTTCACATCTGCAACTTTTCTTAGATTTGGGCTATAAAGCTCAATAATAACCCTACAAGCAACATATATACTCTGAATCAAGAGAAGTTTGAAGATGTGATGAGATTGAAGATTGGAACAAATCTTTCCTCCTCTTTCAAAGGAGGGCAGCTGTTCAAAGGCCTTAAATTTATTATTCTTTTCCTCACCAGTTTGTTTCCCAGGGGGTGTGCATTGGGTTTCAGTTGGGAAACAAGACAAATCTGGGCTTCTGATGAAACTGCAGAATCTTTGCACACGGCTGGATCAGGATGAGAATTTCTCCCAGAGGCTTCCACTTAATATTGAAGAGGCTAAAGACCGTCTCCGCATTCTGATGCTGCGCAAACATCCAAGGTACAGATGGTTATACTTACTTGGTGTATGAAGTCCCAGTGAGACTTAACTACTGACATCTTGAGAACATCATAGCCTTTTCTTGCTGTTGGGTAGAGGGTCTAAGAAAGAACCATTGCTTTCCTGCTCTTCCTCTCTCTTGTATTAAAAAAAAGTGTCTGCCACTGACCTTTGCATCGTACCTGCCAATTCTCTCTTGTGTGCCATTGTAGGCTCTCAAGAAATATTTCTTAAGTAGGTGAGTTGGTGAATGGTCTTTGTTAAAAGATGCAGACTTTTTACCTTGAATACATTATTTCTAATCGATTAACACAGAACAAGAGACAGAATAAATGCAGGCAACTTGTAAAAGACTGAGTCAGGAAGGATTATTTATTTAAAGGGACCCTTCTGCTGTGTTCTCTTACTTTTTGGGTATACATGTAACTCTTCTACTTCCAAGTACTTTAAGAGTTTGTTTTGTTTATTTCAATAATTAATTAATTTATTAAATAAATGCCATTATAATTATGTGCCAGGCACTGTTTTCAGCTATATCACAGTTTTCATTAGCCAAAGGGAGGCAGCAACTTAGTTGCTATCTTTGTTAAGAGTTAAGGGATTTAGTCAACAATTTGATTTCTGCCACATAGCAGCTATTTTACTTGTTCATTTAACCAACATTGAGTGTCGTGCCAGGTTCTGGGTCAAGTGCTACAAGTACAAAGATTAATAAAGCATTCCTTGTGAGTATAACAGTAAATTGGGTGAGAATTAGGTAATGGCTCTGAATTTTTTTTATTGCCCCCATGCACCTGATGATGCTGTATACTTTCATGTGTAGTAGTGGCTGAATATGGTAGTGCTTCCCCAGATTGGTAAGGGGATTCATATCAGAATATTGGGTGAGAGGAATAATTTTGGGAAAAAGCCTCCTAGTGATTACGATGGATACTCATTACGGAGGGCAAGCTCCCTTCTCTCTGGCTTCTTTCTCTTCCAGATCCCTCTGTTATCTCCCCCTCCCCTTGATAGTCACTAGTATCCATTTTCCTGGAGAAATGGGATTGAGACCACTAACCACTTCCTCTTTTCTTGATCAGTAACTTCTCCTTAGTTCTACTTTCTTTGCAAAAATAAAAATGATTCCTGTTTAGGAAAATATTGTAACCACTCTCAGGTGTATCAGATCATGGCATATAAAGTCATTTTGTTTCTCTCTCAGCATCATTTTGGTTTATGTTTTTGTAATTTTCCAGCCTGTGTATATTCCTAGAGTCTTTTTTTGTAGTGTACAGAAGTAGTGTGCCATTCAGATAATAACGCTAGTGTATAATTATGCTGTCAGGTTTTAGTTGTATTATTTTCTCCATTTGTTCTGACGAGTTTAAAAAAGTTTTTTGGAGGGACTGATTAGGAATTAGCACACAGATTCTTTGTCATTATGTGTAAACAAATTGATTTCTTGGATGGAAAAAAAGCCCACTAGTGTACCAAGTGAAAAGTAATATTATTTGCTGGTGCATTCGATTAGGTTGGGACATATGAAATTGCTAGTTTTGTAGGTAAAATGGTCAAATATTGTCATTGTTCTGTGATGCTTTCTAATGCTAACCTAAGCCCAGTTCTTGCTTGGTTTGGGTACTTAAAGACTGAATTGGAAAAATCTCATTACTTGGATAGTTCTTTTTTAGGCACTAGGAGGCTTATTTCTAATACTTATAATAAAGTATACACAGTTCTCTTTTTATAAGTCCTTTAACTTTAATATGCAGTAATTTGGGGTGGAAGGAAGGGAAAGTCTCTAATTTTCTTTTCCTTATTGGTATATTGTGAAAGGGATACCAAAGAAAAGAGAAAGAACCATGAAATAGACATCTATTTTTTAAAAAATTTTGTAAATTTTAAGAAAACACTGGTGGCATTCTCTTTTTTTTAAAGGAAGTTTAAAATAAATGTCATTAGTGACTCAATACAGTTTTTTCTTATTAAGGTCTCTGTTGATTTTGGATGATGTTTGGGATCCTTGGGTGTTAAAAGCTTTTGACAATCAGTGTCAGATTCTTCTTACAACCAGAGACAAGAGTGTTACAGATTCAGTAATGGGTAAGGATTATTAATTTGCTTTTTATAATAATTCAGTTACATTTAACTATGTGGCATACCAAATTGCTTACTATGTCTTGTGATTTCACAGGTCCTAAATATGTAGTCCCTGTGGAGAGTGGTTTAGGAAAAGAAAAAGGACTTGAAATTTTATCCCTTTTTGTTAATATGAAGAAAGCAGATTTGCCAGAACAAGCTCACAGTATTATAAAAGAATGTAAAGGTATAGTTATTTATTTTGTGTATGAGGGGGTTATAGAGATACTAATTTACCCTTTTGTAAGTTAAGCTAATGAACATAACAATTTAACACATGAACATCCAAAAACTTTACTAGAATATTTAGTATTTTAGGTTCTTCTCTGATACCCTATATGGATAGTGATATTTTGGTATTCATCCTTTAGTTAAAATAATATTTAACAAACACCCACAATATGTTATGAAAGGGGTAAGATGAAGACATGACCTCTGTTGTCAAAGAATAAAAAATGTAATGAGAGTCACAGTTTAAAATTTTTTTGGTTGGGATTTTATTTTTTTATTTTTTATTTTTTGGCTGTGCTGCGTGGCTTTTGGGATCTTAGTTCCCTGACCAGGGATTGAATTTGGGCCACCACAATGAAAACATGGAGTCCTAACCACTGGACTGCCAGGGAATTCCCTGGTTGGGATTTTATAAAAATAATGTTCTAATTTGATAAGTAAAAACTGGTGCTGTCTTCTTAATTTGCATTTTTGAATAGTGAAGTTAAACTTTTTTATTGAATATTGCATTTTAAGAAATTATCCTGGACTTCTCTGGTGGTGCAGTAGTTAAGAATCCACCTGCCAATGCAGGGAACACGGGTTCGAGCCCTGGTGTGGGAAGGTTCCACATGCTGTGGAGCAACTAAGCCCGTGCGCCACAACTACTGAGCTTGCGCTCTATAGCCTGCGAGCCACAATTACTGAGCCCGTGTGCCACAACTATTGAAGCCCGTGCCCCTAGAGCCTGTGCTCCACAGCAAGAGAAGCCACCGCAATGAGAAGCCTGCGCACCACAACGAAGAGTAGCCCCTGCTCGAAGCAACTAGAGAAAAGTCTGTGTGCAGCAATGAAGACCCAGTGCAGCCAAAAATAAATAAATAAATTTATTAAAAAAAAAAGTTATCCTTGACTCACTTTTGTGATATGAGTATTTTTCATTGAGTTTTTGACACTCTTAACTATGGAAACTATTAACCTTTTGTCATATTTTTTCCAACTGTTTTTCTTCTAGTTGTGTCTGCCTTTTAATTTCATTTGTAGTATTTTTTTGACACACAGAAATTTAAAATTTTATATGGTCAAATCTATCAGCTCTTAAGATTATTTTTTCCATCATTGTTAATGCTTGGAAATAGTTTCTTGTTTTTCTTTCTTCCATCAAACTTGTTTTTGAGTTAATTGACTTTTAAAAAGTATCTCAACCTTAGGAAAAAATACTTGATTTGTATTCAGTATGAAGGTGATGCATGTGCATTTTGAAACACTTAAAAAGAAAAAATAGAAATTATCCATAATCTGATAATTTTAGCATCATGAGAGTATTTCTCCTAGTCTTTCAGGACATATAAAACCTTGAAAAAAATATTGAGATTATAATGGTATATATAATTTTCAGTCTTACCCTTTTTAATAGCAAATCTTGAGCATTTTCCCATGTTATTAAATATCTTTTGAAAATTTACCAGTGGCATAATATTATGATATACTTTATTTAGTCATTTCCCTGTTATTGTTTAAGATTTTTCACTATTTTAAATACTGTAATGAATATCCTTAAGTGAAATATTTCTTATTTCTAATGACTTCTTTAGAATAAGTACCTGAAGTGAATCCAAGAGTTATAAATATTTTAAAGCTTTGGATAGCATGCGGCAGAAATTCTTTCTTGAGGATAAATTGATTCTTAGTGGTAATTTGGAAATGATACTGTAATAACACTGACTTTTTTTATTTTTTAGGTTCACCTCTTGTAGTGTCTTTAATTGGTGCACTTTTACGAGATTTTCCCACCCGCTGGGAGTACTACCTCAGGCAACTTCAGAATAAGCAATTTAAGAAGATAAGGAAATCTTCATCTTATGATTATGAGGCTTTGGATGAAGCCATGTCTATAAGTGTTGAAATGCTCAGAGAAGACATCAAAGATTATTACACAGATCTTTCCATCCTTCAGAAAGATGTTAAGGTGCCTACGAAGGTAATAGAAGGACCAACAATCTTTATCTTTGGGTATTGTGGCATATAACCTTTGGTTTAGTCCTGAGGATATTGTTACAGAGGATACTGGGAGGATAAAACCTGTGTACCTGAGGGTGGTGGGCTGGAGGGTGTAGAAATCCCACTGTTCTTAGTTTCCATCATGGGCTTTGGTGTTGAACTCAGATGAGTTACCTAGTTCTCAGTGGTTCTAGTGAACCTGGAGAAGCATATGACTTCTTTAGAACTCTTTTTCTTTTCTGTCTTGATGAGTATTTGAGCTTCTTATGAAATGGAGACATTATTCAGGGCTTTAATACATGATGTTTTTAATACAATTAAAAAATTATTTGTTTTGTTTATTTTTGGCTGTGTTGGGTCTTCGTTGCTTTGCGTGGGCTTTGTCTAGTTGCGGTGAGTGGGGGCTACACTTTGTTGCGGTGTGCGGGCTTCTCATTGTGGTGGCTTCTCTTGTTGTGGAGCACGGGCTCTAGGTGCGCAGGCTCAGTAGTTGTGGCTCGTGGGCTCTAGAGCGCAGGCTCAGTTGTTGTGGCGCATGGGCTTAGTTGCTCTGGGGCATGTGGGATCTTCCCGGACCAGGGCTCGAACCTCTGTCCCCTGCATTGGCAGGCGGATTCTTAACCACTGTGCCACCAGGGAAGCCCTAACACATGAGTTTTTGTCTGTTAACCTCCTGTGTGCAATCCTGGTCATTGTATATTGTGGCACATTAAATGTTTAAAATGATTCCTAGGTGTTGTGTATCCTCTGGGATATGGAAACTGAAGAAGTTGAAGACATACTGCAGGAGTTTGTTAATAAGTCTCTCTTGTTCTGTGATCGAAATGGAAAATCATTTCTTTATTATTTACATGATCTTCAAGTAGATTTCCTTACACAGAAGAATCACAGCCAGCTTCAGGTACTTGCATCTCTGTACGTTCTTTTTTTTTTTTTTAACTTTTAATTTTGAAATTATTTTAGACTTATAGAAAAGTTGCAAAATAATACAGTTTCTATGCATATACTTTCATCTAGCTTCCCCCAATGTTAACATCTTACATAACTATAATACAGTTATGAGAGCCAGAAAATTAACATTGATACAGTACTGTTAACTAATACACAGACTTTATTTGAATTTTGCCAGCTTTCCCACTAATGTCCTTTTTTGTGGTTCAGATCCAATTCTGTATTCTATATTGCATAATATCATGATGTTTCTTTAGTTTCCTCAAATCTAGGAAAATTCCTTGATTTTCTTTCTTTCATGATCACTTTTGAAGAGTACTCACTAGTTATTTTGCACAGTGTCCCTTAGTTTGGTTTTTGTTTTTTTTTAATTAATTAATTTATTTTTGGCTGTTTTGGGTCTTCATTGCTGCGCAGGGGCTTTCTCTAGTTGTGGAGAGGGGGGCTACTCTTTGTTGTGGTGCATGGGCTTCCCATTGCGGTGGCTTCTCTTGTTGTGGAGCACAGGTTCTAGGCATGTGAGTTTCAGTAGTTGTGGCCCGTGGGCTCTAGAGCTCAGGGTCAGTAGTTGTGGCGCATGGGCTTTGTTGCTCTGCAGCATGTGGGACCTTCCCAGACCAGGGCTTGAACCCATGTCCCCTGCATTGTCAGGCAGATTCTTTTATTTTTTATTATTATTATTTTTTGCGGTACGCGGGCCTCTCACTGTTGTGGCCTCTCCCGTTGTGGAGCACAGGCTCCGGACGCGCAGGCTCAGCAGCCATGGCTCACGGGCCCAGCTGCTCCACGGCATGTGGGATCTTCCCGGACCGGGGCACGAACCCATGTCCCCTGCATCGGCAGGCGGACTCCCAACCACTGCGCCACCAGGGAAGCCCCTCTTAGTTTGGGTTTGTCTGATGTTTTCTCTTGACTAGAGTAAGGTTATATATTTTTGGCAATAACACCACAGAAGTGCTGTTGTGTCCTTCTCAGTGCATCATATCAGGGTGTTGACACGTCTAATCAGTGATATTAACATTGATTACTTGGTTAAAGTTTCTCAATTGTAAAGTTACTGTTTTTTTCTTTTGTAGTTAATAAGTATCTTGTGGGGAGATTCTCTGTACATTCTTAAATAGCTTTGGAAGCTGGAGTTTCTGTGATGCTTAGGTTATGAAATTGTTTCTGTCCTCTGAAATGTTTCATTTGGGTTTCAGGATCTACACAAGAAACTAATCACTCAGTTCCAGAGACATTTCCGGCTACATTGTCTTTCACCAGATCAGGAGGACTGCATGTATTGGTACAATTTTCTGGCCTATCACATGGCTAGTGCTAAAATGCACAAAGTAAGATTACTCATTTAAAAAACTATTTTCTTTTATCTCACTTTTATTTTGTCCTATGTTTAGAATTTTCTTTTATTAGTAAAAATAGGGTTATAACCTGTGTAAGTAATTTTGTTAACTGTTTTTACCTGCAGGTACCTTAGTAACTGCAGTAAATGAACCACCTAAAAATTCAGTCTCTTCATACCAGTAGCTATCCTTTGTGGACCATATGGATTTGTTTTTAAGTTCTGAGAGGAAATGGAAAGTGGGAAAGTATATTCATTCATTCAGCAAATATTTATGGAGTGCCTGTTGTGTACTGGTGGTCTTCTTCATTATGAAGGATATACCACAGGCACAAAGTCCCTGCTCTCATTGAGCTTACATTCTGGGGGGAGATTGACACGGGACAAATAAATTTATCATATGTTACCGGGGTAGTAAGTGCTCAGAAGAAGAAAAAAGTGTGTAAGGAGAAAGGAAGTGATGACTTGGCATTGAGTCATCATGATTTGCTGATGGATTTGATGTACATTGTAAGAAAAAGAGAAGAGTCAAAGATGACTCCAAGCTTGTGCAGTTCAAAGATTGGAGTTGCCATGAACTGAGTTTGGGATAGCTATGGGTCAAACAAGTATTTTACCAGGAGTGAAGGGAAGGTTAGGAACTCATTTGGAATATATTAAGTCTGGTGTACACATTAAGACATCTGACTGGATATATTTAGCATATAGTTGGATATATGAATCTGGATTTCTGGGGAAAACTATGGACTAAAGATAAAACTTGGGAATCATCAGCACATAGGTATTTGAAGTTATGACTACCAATTAACTACTCACAATGTTAACATTTTAGAAAACCGTATATACTTTGAGAAAAGGGAACCCTTTTGCACTGCTGGTGGGCATGTAAATTGATACAGCCACTATGGAGAACAGTATGGAGGTTCCTTAAAAAACTAAAAATAGAACTACCATATGACCCAGCAATCCCACTACTGGGCATATACCCTGAGAAAACCATAATTCAAAAAGAGTCATGTACCACAATGTTCATTGCAGTTCTATTTACAATAGCCAGGACATGGAAGCAACCTAAGTGTCCATCGACAGATGAATGGATAAAGAAGATGTGGCACATATATACAATGGAATATTACTCAGCCATAAAAAGAAACAAAATTGAGTTATTTTTAGTGAGGCGGACAGACCTAGAGTCTGTCATACAGAGTGAAGTAAGTCAGAAAGAGAAAAACAAATACCGTATACTAACACATATATATGGAATCTAAGAAAAAAAAAATAGGTCATGAAGAACCTAGGGGCAAGATGGGAATAAAGATGCAGACCTACTAGAGAATGGACTTGAGGACACGGGGAGGGGGAAGGGTAAGCTGGGACAAAGTGAGAGAGTGGCATGGACATATATATACTACCAAATGCAAAATAGATAGCTAGTGGGAAGCAGCCGCATAGCACAGGGAAATCAGCTCTGTGCTTTGTGACCACTTGGGTGGGATAGGGAGGGTGGGAGGGAGAGAGACGCAAGTGGGAAGAAATATGGGGATATATGCATATGTATAGCTGATTGACTTTGTTGTAAAGCAGAAATACACCATTGTAAAGCAGTTATACTGCAATAAAGATGTTAAAAAAAACCCATATATACTTTGAATAATTTTTCAGCCTTATGTACTTTAATCTCTTGGTTACATACAGTTTACGTTTAATAATCTACATTGGAATGACAGTATTCCAATAAATATCTGTGCTCTGATTTACTTAGCTGAACTTTAATTGTTGAACACTTAGGTTGTTTTCATTTTTTTTTTTTCTTTTTTACTCTTATGATGCTGTAATGAAATTCTTGTTTGTCTTCACACCTGTATTATTTCCTTTGGAAATTTCTTGAAGTGGAATTATTGGGTCAATGCATCTTTTAAAAACTTTTGATATGTATGGTAGTGTGACAGGATTCAGTTCCTTTCATTTTTTTTAACCTTTTTTTTCCTGATTTTTAAAGATAGTAGTTTACTTTCATTGGAAAAATTGAGGAAAACACTAAGTGAAGAAAATGAAGATCACAACCATTGCTAATGCTTTTTTTTTTTTTTTTTTTTTTTTTGGTACACGGGCCTCTCACTGTTGTGGCCTCTCCTGTTGTGGAGCACAGGCTCCGGACGTGCAGGCTCAGCGGCCATGGCTCATGGGCCCAGCCGCTCCGCGGCATGTGGGATCTTCCTAGACCAGGGCACAAACCCGTGTCCCCTGCATCGGCAGGCGGACTCTCAACCACTGCGCCACCAGGGAAGCCCGCTAATGCTTTTATGTGTAGTTTTCCAGATCATTTTGCTGCTCAGATACACACACCTGTTCTTTAAAACCAGAATGGGATCATGATAGAAATATAGTCTTATATCTTGTTTTTTCTACTTAATTGTAGTTCAGGGTTATTTTTCTATGTCAGTTTATATATAATAGATTGACATAATTTTTAAAGCTGCATACTATTTAATTGTATAGGTACATTATGATTGGTCAGTTGGTTGGTGGATGGTCAGATTGCTTAAGCACACTTGTCTGACTTATTTTTTTAGGGCACATAAGTGTAATTCTGGGTCAATGATGTGTACAGTCCGAATTTTAATACAGATTGCTAAAGTGTCCTCTAGAAGGGTGCTCTGATTTACATCACTACCAGCAGTGTATGAGGGTGTTCATTTCCTCTGATTCTAGCTAACATTTTTATCATTCCTTTTAGTCTTTAGAAATCTGATGTTAAAAGATAGTAAATCTTCGTTGTTTCTCTTTGATTACTGGTGAGAGTTTTGGCTATTTGTGCTTTTTATTTTGTGAATTGGCTCTCATCCGTTGATTGCCTTTGCCTGTTTTTCTATTGGAGTGTTTATCTGTTTCTTACTCTTTTATTAAAATTTTTTATAAAAATATTAAGCCTTCATCTATCATACATTTGTAAATAAATTTTTTTCCTGGTTTATTTTTTGTCTTAAATGTTATTTATATATTTTTTTTACTATATTGAACATCTGAGTTTTTATGTAGTTAAATGCACCACTATTTTTCTTTGCGGTATTTTGCTTTGGGGTCATGTTTATAAAAATTTCCTTAACCCCAAGAGTTACAAAAATAGTAAATATCTGTATCTTCTAGTATTTTTTTTAAATTAAATTAAATTTATTTTATTTTTGGCTGCTTTTTTTTGGGTCTTCCTTGCTGTACGAGGGCTTTCTCTAGTTGCGGTGAGCGGGTGCTACTCTTTGTTGTGGTGCGTGGGCTTCGCATTGCAGTGGCTTCTCTTGTTGGGAGCACAGGCTCAAGGCACGTGGGATTCAGTAGTTGTGGCTCGTGGGCTCTAGAGCGCAGGCTCAGTAGTTGTGGCGCATGGGCTTAGTTGTTCTGCGGCATGTGGGATCTTCCTGGACCAGGGCTCGAACCTGTGTCCCCTGCATTGGCAGGTGGATTCTTAACCATTGCGCCACCAGGGCAGCCCTCTTCTAGTATTTTTTGAAGTTTCTATTTTATATTTAAGTCTGAATAATCCATCTGAAATTTATTTTGAATTAAGGTGTGAGGTCCATTTTTTGTTTCTTTGGAACTATTAATGATATGTTCCTTTTTGTCCTTAAATTCTAGGCATCTGCTAAGTTTCTCTCATTAGTGTTAGGATAATGATGGTAGATTTAAAATTCTTTGATCTCTTTAACAGTGCTCCTGATCTTTTTTTTTTTTTTTTTTTAAGGAACTGTGTGCTTTAATGTTTTCCCTGGATTGGATTAAAGCAAAAACGGAGCTCGTAGGCCCTGCTCATCTGATTCATGAATTTGTGGAATACAGGCATATGTTGGATGAAAAGGTATATATTATTATGAAAAATAAGTCCTTAAAGGACATCTCATTTTGACATTTAATTCTAGGTTTAATAGTGGGGATGAACAAAATAGCAGAGGTGAAGAGCGATAATTTCCTTACTTAACCTTTGATTATTCTAATTATTTTGCTTCCTCTCCTGCTGTGGATAAGATTGAGGTTTGAAAGCTGGGGAAGTAAAGTGTTCAGTGTTTTTTTTAGGAAAGGGAATGTGTTAAGAAGGTAACACTTAGATAATGAGATTTTTTTTTTTTTACCCTATGTTTAAAAGTCTGAAGAGGATCACTATGTATTTGTTACCTAATGGTTGGCTATTTAATTTTAGCTCGTATAGAGAATATTTAAGCTTTTAAAGTGACAAAATCACAGAAACAAAAAAATGTCAGATTTGGGCTCTGGTTACATTTCTAAGAGATTTCATTTTGTTCATAGGATGGTGCAGTCTGTGAGAATTTCCAGGAGTTTTTATCTTTAAATGGACATCTTCTTGGACGACAGCCATTTCCTAATATTGTACAGCTGGGCCTCTGTGAACTGGAAACTTCAGAAGTTTATCAGCAAGCTAAGCTGAAGGCCAAGCAGGAGGTCGATAACGGAATGCTTTACGTGGAATGGATGTAAGTAGGTTAGGAGAGAAACCAAAGGGAACAGCACTAACTGTGTCATTATTTTTCAGGTAGTGAATAAGTTCACTCCAGGAAGACTTAACTACTTTGGATAGGGCTTAAACTTTTAATGAGCATTCTTACTTATTGAAAAGTTCTAGAGAAGTAACCATAGGAGAAATACATATTTTCAGAGTCCATAAAAATAGATGCTTGCCTATAAGATGACTTTTGACAAGTCATCCTAAATATTAATATAAATGCTTCACTTATTGTAATACAGTATAGTAGCAAAGAGCATTGTTTTTGAAGCTACAAACCTAGGTTTGAGACTCAGTTCTAAAACCTAAGAGTTTTGTGATTTTAAACAAGTTACAGGTTACTCTTCTTTCTCATACGTGAAATAGAGATAACAATCCTTTGAGGTAAGTGCTGTTTTTGTGAAGATTTAAATCAGATATTGGATATAAAGTGATGAGCACTTTGCCTTGCATATAGCCCATATTAAACTTCCACTGAATCCTGATTCTTCTAGCTCCTAAGAGGCCATTCAGTTGTGTTCTTATCTTAATCTTATCAATTTGTAAAAGGAAAGGGTAAGACTGCTATCTTTTTAATGCCTATTATATACTGTATGCTCACATACATTGTTCATTTTATCTTCAAAACAACCTTATAACGTAAATATTATTTGCCCTACTTTACAAATGAGAAAATTGAGGCACAGGGTGGTTGAGACTTGACTGAGCTCACGTGGCTTGCTGAATGTGATTTAAACTGTGGGTCTGGCTTTATTTTCATGCTCCTTTTGGTAATAAGTATGAATGGTTGTCTTTTCACATATATAATTTATATATAAATTGACCTCCTGGTTGATATCGTCTGTGATCTATATAGCCCTGGACCTTCTTTCCAAATAATTCAGGTTGCCATAGGTGGTTTCCCTAATTCAGTTTAGTTCAATAAATATTTGAGTTTCTCTACTGTGCTAAAGCACTGTTACTAGGTGCTAAGGCTCTCCCCAAGGAGCTTACAATCTACTAGTGAAGAAAGAAGTTTAAACAGATAATTATAACGTGATAAATGCAACAGAAGTAAAGTATAAAATAGAGGTAAAACTGAGAAGTGGGTAAGTTAGCTTGGATGGATGAGGGATTCTGGTAAGGTTCCGTAAAGGAGAGAGTTAAAAAAAATTTTTTTAATTAAAAATTAAATTAAAAAAATTTAAAATTTATTTTATTTTACTTTTTGGCCGCACCATGCAACCTGTGGGATCTTAGTTCCCTGACCAAGCATTGAACTCGGGCCCACAGCAGTGAAAGTGCCAAGTCCTAAACACTGGACCACCAGGGAATTCCTCAAAAAATTAAATTTTAATTTTTCATTGATTTTATTTTTGTTTTAAAGCAATCCATGTTCCTGATTTTTTTTTTTTAAATCAGTGTTAGAGGGATGTAAAATGAAAAGTCAGAGACTCTTCATGTTCCCCTACCTTCTCACTTCCCAGAGTTCACCATTCTTTAACATTTTTTTGGGAAGAGGTTTCACTCTCCCTGGAAGCAGCCACCTAATTAATTGAGATCTGTCTGTATTCTAGAACACTTGTTTACTCAATATCATAGCATTGTGTCATTTTACGGTGGTTTTCTGTTTACTTGTTTTTTTCCATAATTTCTATCCATTCTGTAGTATAGAACGTTTGGAGGTTAAAATAACAGACTCTGGCTCTAGACCGCTTGGGCTTGAATCCCAGCTCTGCTATTTTTTAGTTGTGTATCATTAGGAGAAAGTTATTCAACTTATCTTGCCTAGTGGTACTATTCATAGCATTGTTGTGAGGATTAAATGAGTGTGTGTGTATACACAAACATACACACCTACATAGGTTGCTTAGAACGGTACCTAGATCATAGAAAGTGCTCAATGAATGTTAGTTGTTGTTTTTAAGAATAAATAGCATTTAGGGAATTCCCTGGTGGTCCAGTGGTTAGGATTCTGTGCTTTCACTGCCGAGGGCCTGGGTTCTATCCCTGTTTGGGGAACTAAGATCCTGCAAGCCATGTGGTGTGGCCAAAAAAAAAAAAAAAAAAGATTAAAAAAGAAAAGGATAGGGCTTCCTTGGTGCAGTGGTTAAGGATCTGCCTGCCAATGCAGGGGACACGGGTTCTAGCCCTGGTCTGGGAAGATCCCACATGCTGCGGAGCGACTAAGCCTGTGCGCCACAGCACTGAGCCTGTGCTCTAGAGTCCGTGAGCCACAACTGCTGAAACCCGCGTGCCACAACTACTGAAGCCCGTGCATCTAGAGCCTGTGCACCACAACAAGAGAAGCCACCGCGATGAGAAGCCTGCGCACCACAACGAAGAGTAGCCCCTGCTCGCCACAACTAGAGAAAGCCCGCATGCAGCAGCGAAGACCCAATGCAGCCAAAAATAAAATAAAAATAGATAAAAATAAATAAATTTATTTTAAAAAAAGAAAAGGATAAATAGCATTTAGCATTTTGCCTGGTCCATGTAGTTGATATTCAAGAGAAATTTGTAGAAGATCGACTGAATTCATGTTTTAGTTAGTGATTAAAATAGAATTGTGATACTTGGTCTGATAATCAGATGGGCATTGGTTTAGTTCTTGTTCTCTTTTGAACGTTGAGTTTGTTATTTTTACTTTTTCCTGCTGTTTTTTTTTTTCCGCTTCATCAACTGCATTTCAACCTGTGATGTTCTCTCATAGGATGGTTAGTCATTAATAGCTGTATCTTTTTAACTGGGTTTGACCAGGTCATATTCAAAGAATGCTTTATTTTTCAGTACTAGAAAGCTTTTTTTTTTCTTCTGTAGAAAGTTTAGGTTGGTATAAACGTAATTTGAGTTTCATCTTTTAAAGAAATCATTCATGCATTCGTTTGTTATTTATCTAATACTTTTTGGCCACATGCCCATCATTGTGACAGGTCACTTTCCGAGCTTTGAGGAATTGAGTAGACAGATCGGGGGACATATTTTCTTAATCTGATTCTCTAAACTTTGCCAGTAGCTTACCTGTTTATCCTCCAGATTCTCATCACTCTAGTTTTTATAGTTGTTTGTTTTATCAATTCTAGTGAAGTTTAATACTTTCTAGGCAAGGTTTAAGTCTGATCTACCTTTGTGTTCCCTTTTTTCATTTGGTCTGTTTTGTGTGTGATACCTGTTCAGAGCAGGTATCATTGCTCACATTTTACATATGAGGAAAAGGAAACTTACTAGGTTAAGTAATTTGCATAAGTTTACACACCTAATAAGTAGTAGAAGCAGGGTTGCCCTTTAGGTTTATCTGACGCCTAACCTTTTCCTCTTAAGATAAGCATGATACCACTTAACATATTTACTCACAGTGACTGGGGTGTATGTATGTGGAATTCTGACACTGTTCTAATACTTTCCCCATTTTAAGTATACATCACATTCCTTTACCCTTTTGCCATTGTGAAATAATATCTTTACTAGTGCAATACTTAGTATTTAGTAGATTAAGACACAAAGAAAATGACATTACTTTTTTTTCTCTATATCTGAATAATTGTAGTTAGAGAAGAATGGTTTTAAAGTGCACATCATAATGGTGGGTGTAGTGTCATACTTTAGTTAGAAAATGAGCTTCATTTTGCTATAGCTCTTTCCTTTTGAAAAAGATGGAGATTTTTTTGAGATTATCCTCTTATAATGTTTTCTCTGCACATGTTGTTATTAATGTATTAGAGGGAAAGAAAAACTGACATGTATTTGATTAACTAGATTTCTTCCAACTCAGTGATATTTGTAGTACATGACAGGTTGCTTGATATAGCGTAGCATTTATCTTAAAATGCTGCTTTTGTTATATTATGCTTTTTTTCCTCAGGTGATGTGTGCTGTCATTTACATATTGGTAATTTAATTTTAAGAGTTTTGTGTTTTTTGGAACATAACTATGTTAAAAGACAGTTTATTACTGAAAGAAAATAATTACTTTTACTCTTGTTTATTGGATTTCTGTTCATTTTTTCCTTTATATTTAGAAACAAAGAAAACATCAAGAATCTCTCCCGCTTGGTCGTCCGCCCCCATACAGATGCTGTGTACCATGCTTGCTTTTCTGAGGATGGTCAAAGAATAGCTTCTTGTGGAGCTGATAAAAACTTGCAGGTAAACCTATCTCTTGAGAAAAATTCAAAGAGTCATGCACCTAATACTGTGCATATTAGAATATATTTAAATTCTAAAATTTAAGAAAATTGCACATTAGGAATAGAGAAATGTTCAGATCTCTTGAACATTTTATGAAAGCTTTCTCTATAGATTTAAAAGATATGGTGGTGTATTTTCATAATTCTAAACTTGCCAAGTGACATAGAAGTGCCTTTTACCCTAGCAGTCAGTTCTTGTCATCCATGTGACAGCTAAGGGTAATGAGGAAATGATAACTGTTAAAAGACATAAGGACTTCATAGCACAGTGAACAGGACTCTGATTAAAAAACAGTGACTGTGGGGCTTCCCTGGTGGCGCAGTGGTTGAGATTCCTTCGCCGATGCAGGGGACACTGGTTCGTGCCCCGGTCCGGGAAGATCCCACATGCCGCGGAGCAGCTGCGCCCGTGAGCCATGGCCGCTGAACCTGTGCGTCCAGACCTTGTTGTTCCGCAATGGGAGAGGCCACAACAGTGAGAGGCCCGCGTACCGCAAAACAAAAACAAAAACAAAACAGTGACTGTGTAAAATACCTATTTTATCATAGGCTCGGGCATAGATTTCTGACTGTAAATAGGAATTGGACTAGATTATTTCCTTAGGCGCTTGAAGGAATTTTAATTTCTCATTTGTTTTCAGAAAACATGAATGAGTGCTTTTCTTTAAATTGGTACTCAACCTTTTGATTTTGAAGGAAACAAAAACTAGTTAAAACATTTAAATTTAAGATTGCAAGATTATGATTGTAAGCCTTATTTCTATATGTGTACTTTATTACTACTTTTATTAATTTTGGCTTTTGAGCACAGAAAGCATATTGAATGAAGTGTTTTCTACTGATTGTTAAGAATTTGCCAAACTGTTCTCAAGAACTGAAGCTACTGTCAGCTCTATTGATTGATTGCTGCACTATGCGGCAGGCGGGATCTTACTTCTCTGACCAGGGATTGATCTCGGGCCCCCTGCAGTGGGAGCGCGGAGTCTTAACCACTGGACCACCAGGGAAGTTCCTTTTTTCTTTTTTTTTTGGGGGGGGGGCAGGATGATTTTCTTTTTATGTTAAGGCATACGAATTCTGACAGAAATTCTCATTTTTACAGTGATATTGCCAAGGTTCATTTCTGTTGCAAAATAACAGTGATAAAGATCTTTTAAAGAAATATTTTTATTGAATGATGGCCCATGGTTAAATAGGTATAGTAAAAAGATTTTATTGTTGCTTATATAGGTTTTCAAAGCTGAAACAGGAGAGAAACTTCTAGAAATCAAGGCTCATGAGGATGAAGTGCTTTGCTGTGCATTCTCTGCAGATGACAGATTTATAGCAACCTGCTCAGTGGATAAAAAAGTGAAGGTAGGGAAATATTTTCCTCTTGAGTTGTAATCACCACAGAATTTATTTTCTTTTTCTGTAACAGAGGGACTAGAGTAAGTAGAGTTAAAGGACTCTTGCCTATTGATCTACTAACTTGAGGCAAACCAGTTTTATCCATTGTAAATTAATTCTGTCTAAAACTTTTTATTTTTAAGCACAAGCAAAAATGCCTAGGTTGATTAGCCTAGGAAACACAGCTGATATTTATATTTATCAGGCAGCTGGGAAACACAATTTCAGATTAATGAATTTGCCTGACACTTATTGACAGGTCTGTGGGTTAAATATCAGTTGAAATCTCTAAGTGTACTGTGGTCGGAAGTGTTGCTGCACAAAATTATTGTCTGAGATCGATTCCTGTTGTAAAATATATAATTTGTGAAATGCAACCCAGATTTTTTTTACCTTTATGAGCTGGCTTACATTCAATGCAAAACTAGATGAATAAACATACTAACAATCAGGTTACTAGTCTACAAAGTAAACAGAGAAGAGAAAACTCACAGGGTAATTTTTATCTTTGTTAATTATTCTTTTTTTAGTTTCTTGTCCCTAAATTTGGCTTTTAGCCAGAGTATTTTTATGGAATTTAAGAGAAAGTGAAGTCTAGGGGAATATTTTATTTGATAAATGGAGGGGAGACCTCATTTTGGGCTTTTTTCAAAAGGGGTGTGGAATGCTGAATCTGTTTAGGTGGGGTGGGCCTTAGTGGACCTGGGAGCAAGAAAGTTGGCTTGAGAGTTTTTGTGGAGTTTGCATCTACTTGAAGAGGACCCCGGAGTGTCCAGACTAAATTGAGACTTCGGAAAAATCTTCTTGATAGATTGGACTCTCTACGTGGCTTTACAACCAACCAGTTAATTCACTCTATAACCTCTATTCTGAGTCAGACTTGGAGCTGGCCATTCTGTGGTGTTCCAGAGTTAGAGCTATGTGGCTCAAGTTTCTATTTGTAAGAAATTTAAAGCAAGAGGCAGAAATACTTATTACAGAACTTTAAAATAAACTCTTTGGATCTCTGGAGAGTGCTTTGATAAGATAAAATAAAATGCTATGGGAGGGACATTAGTATCTCTAAAAGTCCAAAAGCCCAGTGAAAATTCATTAGGTAATTTATTTCTTTTGTTTGTTTGATGAAACAGACTACTTACATAGTAACTAGGAAAATGATTACTTTTTACTGAGAACACTGCGTGAGGCTTTATACTACACACTTTCTTATATTACATTATCAATTTCTCACTACAATTGCAAAGTAAGTGTTGATCCCATTTTAGAGATGAGGAAACAGGTTCAGAGATGAAGTCATTTGCCCAGGCTCATATTAACTAATGCCTGATGGTACCAGGGTTGAAAGCTAGGTTTCCCTCAGAATCTAAAGCCTTTATTTTTTTTCACTGAGCCATTTGCCTTTACTTATTTATTAGTACCTTGAAGTCAGCAGAACACTTATCAAATTCTTTGTCATTTGACACCATGCATTGTGTAAGATGGGTACAAGTATCCCCATTTTACAGAGGGGGGAACTGAAATGCAGGTAAATTAAGGACTTGACTAGGGACACACAACTTATAAGTGGTAGAGCCAGGTCTTAGATTGGCTCTGATTAATTTTTCTGATCTGAAGTCCATTATTCCATCCCTTTTATAGCACTTTTCTGCCTGCTGTCAAGTCATATGAACATGTGAAATCTTGCCCTTGAAAAGTGTAATGGTTTACATTACTTGCAGGTAGACTTGCAGGTAATTAAAAAAAAAAACATTCTGGCAAAATGCTGACATAATTTAGGGAAGGGAGAGGTATTCATTAGTATCATGTCTGGGAAAATCTGCAAAACAGCTCACATTTGCTTTGCCTTTCTGTTTTCTCTTTGAAACTAAGGGGTACTTGTAAATTTTATTTTCTCTATTCTCTCTAGATTTGGAATTCTACGTCTGGGGAACTAGTACATACCTATGACGAGCACTCAGAGCAAGTCAATTGCTGCCACTTCACCAACAACAGTAATCACCTTCTCTTAGCCACTGGTTCAGATGACTGCTTCCTCAAAGTAAGTGTGGATAATGAGAATTATGTAGATAAATTTGATAGATACACCACAACATCTCCTTTTTTTTCCATATATTGTATTAATCAGGGATCTTTTGGTTGCAGGGGTAGAAACTTTCATATTAGCTTAAGCAACAACAACAACAACAAATATATTATTGGCTCTTGTAACTGAAAAGTCTAGAAGGAGTGTGGCTTCAGGCATAGCTGATTCCAGATGCCTAAAATACGTTCTCAGGCTCTAACCCCTGCCCTCCATCTCTAGACTCTGTTTCCCTTTTTGTTGATTCAGGCATTACTCTTTCTGTGCAGCAGATTTGGCTATCCTTAGCTCCAGGCTTACATGGATATTACAGCTCATAATCACAGAGGAAGGGAAACTCACTCTTTCCCAGGTCCCATAGTTTTCTCATAGAGAAAACTCTAGTTGACATGGTTTGGGTTACATGCGCATTTCAGAATAACCCTAGCAGCCAGTAGGATGGAATCCTTCAGTTGGCCAGGGGTCACAGGTTTTAGCCATGTAGAAATGGGACGAATAGGTGAGGTCAGCTCCACTTGAATTATGACTGGGGCTTGATTCAAGATTCGAAAGAGAGGGTCTGTTATCAGAAAGAGGAGGGAAAAAATGTACTGATAGGAAAAGAAAAAAATTTAAACCAAACTAAAACCAGAAATAGATATTCGTTCCACATATGTTTGATAATTTTTTTAAGATAAATTTATTTATTTTATTTATTTATTTTTGTCTGTGTTGGGTTTTCGTTGCTGCATGCGGGGGCTACTCTTCATTGCAGTCTGTGGGCTTCTCATTGTGGTGGCTTCTCTTGTTGCGGAGCACAGGCTCTAGGCGTACGGGCTTCAGTAGTTGTGGCACGCAGGCTCAGTAGTTGTGGCTCGTGGGCTCTAGAGTGCAAGCTCAGTAGTTGTGGCGCACAGGCTTAGTTGCTTCGCGGCATGTGGGATCTTCCCGGACCAGGGCTTGAACCTGTGTCCCCTGCATTGGCAGGCGGATTCTTAACCACTGTACCACCAGGGAAACCTGGTCAACAGTTTTGAATAAGGACAAGTTTTACTTTAAGACTGGTCATTCCACACTTGCATTTCCATGAGGACTATTAGGACTTACTTCTTGTGCTTTTTTTTTTTTTAAAAATCTGATTTTATTGTATTCTTTCAAGTCCTGGATCCTATGTCCTATGCAAGGGTTCTATTCTCTTATTTTTATAAACTTTAAGTTCTTTTTTTAAAAAAAATTATTTATTTATTTCTTTGGCTGTGTTGGGTCTTTGTTGCTGTGCGTGGGCTTTCTCCAGTTATGGCGAGCAGGGGCTACTCTTCATTGAGGTGCGCGGGCTTCTCATTGCGGTGGCTTCTCTTGTTGCAGAGCACGGGCTCTAGGGTGTGTGGGCTTCAGTATTTGTGGCTCGTGGGCTCTAGAGTGCAGGCTCAGTAGTTGTGGTGTACAGGCTTATTTGGTTCGCGGCATGTGGGATCTTCCAGGACCAGGGCTTGAACCCATGTCCCCCACATTGGCAGATGGATTCTTAACTACTGCGCCACCAGGGAAGTCACACATCTTGTGCTTTTTTTTTTTTTAAATTTTGGCTGCGTTGGGTCTTTGTTGCTGTGCACAGGCTTTATCTAGTTGCAGAGGGCGGGGGCTGCTCTTTGGTGCATGTGCGGGCTTCTCATTGCGGTGGCTTCTCTCCTTGCGGAGCACAGGCTCTAGGCGTGTGGGCTTCAGTAGTTGTGGTGCATGGGCTCAGTAGTTGTGGCTTGCAGGCTCTAGAGCCCAGGCTCAGTAGTTGTGGCGTACAGGCTTAGTTGCTGTGTGGCATGTGGGATCTTCCTGGACCAGGGCTCGAACCCGTGTCCCCTGCATTGGCAGGCGGATTCTTAACCACTGCGCCTCCAGGGAAGCCCTTCTTGTGCTTTTTGAACTGAGAGAAGCCAATGAAAAGATGTAAATTTGATGCTGCTCCCATGTAATTTGCATTATCTGCAGAATGGGGTTTATCTGGGACTGGGATGAAAGAAGCTAGGGATGGAGTTGGACATAAAGAACAGGACTTAACTCACTGATCATTTCCAAAGGATTTTTATTAAGATTAATTTTGGGAGGTAAATGATTTCTTCTGTGTTTAATCTAATTTGCATAAATCCCCCTTGCCCATTTTATTTACGTTTTTTATACTTTTCAAACATACCCCAAAGGAGAGAGAATAGTAACTCTCGTGGTGTCCATTGTCTAGCTCCAACAATTGTCAACATTTGCCAGTTGTATTTTATTCCCCCACCACCTCCCATTTTTTTGGATTAGAGCATTTTATAGCAAATCCCAGGTAACATATCATTTCACCCAGAATACTTAAGCATGTATCTCTGAGGTCTAAAACATAAATACCATGCCATTATCATACCTAACATAATAAACAGTAATTTCGTAATATACCTCGTCCATGTTCTTTTTTCCTTATTAGTCTCAAAGCATATCTTTCTACCATATATTTATTGGAGTCAGAATCCAAACTTCAAGTGGCATTTGGTTGATATGTCTCTTAAATCTTTTATTCTTTAAATGTTCCCCTTCCCGTCTATCTCTTTTTTTATGCCATTGATTTGTTAGAAAAATTGAGTCATTTATCCTGTGGAATGTCCCACCTTCTGGATTTGGTTGATTGTTTCCAGGAAGGGTTGTTTAACTTGCTCTTCTAATCCCTTATGTTTCCCGTCAAATGTATTTATATCTATCTTTGCAGTCTTTGTATTTTTGAGTCATTTTTTAAGAGCGTTAATAGATTTTATCCTAGTTAGTAGACTCTAGGTTTGCATAGGAAATCTTAGAAATGACTATTTTTGGAGTTGGATAACTTAGCATCTAAAAAAATTGGGCAGTTTATTTTACATATTACTTGTTATACAGCTGAGTAAAATAATAATGATTTCAAACTACTTTGTTAAAATAAGCAGTAATTGTTTAGATAGTTTAGTGCTCAGACTGAAGCCTAGATAAACCTTCAAGTCCCTTAGTAGATTTAGGTGCTGATCTAAGGACTGCCGCATTACTTGTTAATCACAAGTTCACCTTTGTGTTTGACACCTTTGTCAAACTGTGAATGGAACGCTTCCTGTAACTGAAAAAGCTTAATTGGGAGGGAAGGAAGAACTTCACATGATTTCTAACTTTTCCCCATTCAGTGCTAGTTTTTCAGTTATCTTTTTATCTTTCTCAAATAGCTCTGGGCTCTGAATCAAAAAGAATGTCGAAATACCATGTTTGGCCATACAAATTCAGTCAATCACTGCAGATTTTCACCAGATGATAAGCTTTTGGCTAGTTGTTCAGCTGATGGAACATTAAAGGTATGCTTTTGTTCATTGTTAAAATGGGTTGTAAATAATTTTATTGTTTTACGGAAAGAGGTTTCTGTTTTTCACATTTCTACAGAAAGCTTCTTCCTTCAACTTCCAGGAGCATATTTAATATAACTGTAATTGGTTGTCATAATGATTGCTTATTAATGGTTTACTACCTTATGCTTTAAAGTTCATATAATTTTAATTCTTAATTTTTAAGTATGTATTTCGTTTATGGTTTCATAAAATCTTTTGAGATCTATGGGATCAAATTTGTAAAGGTCCTGCTTTTATTTATCATTCATTTATTCTGCCTTTTATGTTCCTGTATTCCTGTTTTTGTGAAATCTTATGGGGGAAAACTCAGAGCTAGGGAAAAAAGCTTATTCAGCCTCCTGAAATTTATAGTCTTTAAAAAAACTGAATTCTTCTTCCTTAAATCTCCACCTTACTTCTCAATAAGAACCTATGCCACTTTGCCACTTTCTTTTTTCTTTTTTTTTCTTTTTTTTTTAGCAGTACGCGGGCCTCTCCCGTTGTGGAGCACAGGCTCTGGACGCGCAGGCTCAGCGGCCATGGCTCACGGGCCCAGCCGCTCTGCGGCATGTGGGATCTTCCCGGACCGGGGCACGAACCCGTGTCCCCTGCATCGGCAGGTGGACTCTCAACCACTGCGCCACCAGGGAAGCCCCCTATGCCACTTTCTTATTTCTCTCTCCTGTCATTCTGGTCTCCTGTTTATTGATTCTCCTTTCTTTGGTGTTAAATCTTGACTTCCTCATCTCTTGGTCTACCTTTTCCCCTCCTATTCTGTAGCATTTGCTCTGGTTCATGCTGTTACACCCTCATGTGTGATAGCAGCCTTCTAAGCTATACTCCTCATCCTTCCTTATCCCAATATGTAGCTGCTAGATTAACTCTCTACCTCTGTTTTCATCTTGCCGTTTTTAGCTGGAACACAAATGTACCAAATTCTAAACTGTGGTAAACCCAGGCTCATCAGGCACACCTCTAAGGCTCTTCACTTTCCATCATTCTGCTACCTCTGATCCTGTCCAGTACATTAATTGTCACTTCTGGGCAAGATAATTTTGGGGGCTTATTTCAGCTACTGTCCCTATATATGTTTCATTAGTCTTTTTTGGAATTTTTTTTGCCTCCAATTCACTTGTCTGCAGTTTTTAATGACCCTCAAAACTTTATAAATTTAAAAAATAAATGCAAAGCCTTCTTTAGAAGGTGTTCTCTTATGACATCCATCCATCTGGTTCTGAGAACAAATATATACATATTTACTATATACCTGTATCTATATATATCGATAGATGGAAGCTGCTTGGTCTTCTGATTTCCACTTATAAATTTGTTATAGGAATTTTATGGGTAGAATTCTACTTGATATAATTTCCTGACATCTAGTAGATGTTGGAGCATTCTTAGAATATTCAGCCAAATGGATCTGGCCTCTATGACATATTCTCTACAAATATCAAATATCTGTCTCTTCTTTGGGATGACCATATCAGAGGATTTTTTGGAGGCTCAGTGAAGGCAACCTCTTCTGAAAGATTCTTCTAGTCCTATGAGCTTGTTATTTCTTGGTTTTTATTAAGTGAATGACTTCAGAAGGCATTTTATATCTCAAGGAAGGTTCTCCTTTTACCTTATCTCCATTGCTAATGCAAGTTCTGGGAAGATTCCATTATTATTAGTTTGCTTAATGTTGAAGAAAGTTGTGAAACCAGGCCATTTATCTGTTCTACAAGTTTGAGCTGTGTAACTCTACTGGGCCTTCTTTGCTGCCATTTGTTTCCCGAACTGAATTCACCATAGTGCCTGTTCCAAACCTTTTCTGCTGTTCTTAAGCCCCTAACAATGTCACTGTATCTCTTTCATTCTATGGAGATAACCTTACCTCATACCTATTCAGAAGGTTGACACCACCCAAGAGCTCCCTGCCATGTGCCCTCTCAAAAATTGCCATAAAAAGTCTCTACTCCCCTTTTTTTCTCATCTCAGTGCCCAGGAAGTCCTCTGCTTGTGCCTACTGTTCCTTTTTTTCCTTCTTCCCCTGAGACCTTGCCTCATTGGTTATTTCCTCTTGATGGTGCATCTTTAGTTTTTTTTCTCTTTTGAATCCTTTCCCACAGCCTACAGATGTTCTTGGCCCTTCCTAAGCATTATAAAACCAAAAAGTGAAAAACCTTTGATTCTTCCTTGATTGTGTTATCCTCTGAAAGAGTAATTCAGTTTTTCTTTTTGACTAGACCTTTATGACTAGACTTCTTAAGTCACCTATACTTGCCTCAACCTTCTGACTACTTATTCACTACTTAACCCTTTTTTAGCCTGGTCCTGTCTTCCCTGTATTCCCTTGAAGAGTAAAATCCAGTTTTATTTTGTTTTCATTATTTTTGTTGTAAAATCTAATGCTCTTTGGATGAGTGTGGAATCCGGTATTTTTCTTTATCCAGTCCTTATTCTTTTGGTTGTATTACACCCCCTTCTGTTTCCTTTTTGAAACTCATTTGACATCAGTGTTTTCTTCTTTCTCTTTCTCTAACCTCTTCTTTAACTCTTTTTCCTGCCCATTAAAATATAGCTGTTTCCTGAAGATTCTAATCTTGACTACCTACCTCCATCACCTTTCTTCCATCTCAGTTCAGCGGGTCTTGTGGCTTCAGTTCTTCTCCCTTCTGTGAGTGACTTTCAGATGTGTTCTCTCCAGCCCTCATTTCTCTTATGTGCTGTGTCCTGCATCTTTAACTGCCTGCTCACTGCTGTCACTTAGATAATATGCCGGACCTCAAACTTACTGTGCTCCAAACTGAACTCTTCATTTTTTCTTCCCCAAACTTCCTATATGTTTCAGGGTTTTGATTAGATCAGTGTTCAGGATTTTTACATCATTGTGACTGATCACAGTTGGGCCATGTAGTATATGATGATTTTTTTCCCCCTTTCCTGTACAACACTTTGTTTTCTTTGGGATTAAAGATGTTGTATATTTAACAGTGAAGCTTTGTTTTTTTATTTGTTTATTTTTTTTTAAAGGTTGACATTTATTTTTTAATTTTTAAAATTTATTTATTATTTATTTATTTTTGGCTGCATTGGGTCTTCATTGCTGCGCACAGGCTTTCTCTAGTTGCGGCCAGTGGGGGCTACTCTTTGTTGTGAAGCGCCGGCTTCTCACTGCAGTGGCTTCTCGTGTTGTGGAGCACGGGCTCTGGGTGCGGGCTTCAGTAGTTGTGGCTTGCGGGCTCTAGAGCACAGGCTCAGGAGTTGTGGCTCATGGGCTTAGTTGCTCCGTGGCATGTGAGATCTTCCCAGACCAGGGCTCGAACCCGTTTCCCCTGCATTGGCAGGCGGATTCTTAACCACTGCACCACCAGGGAAGCCCAAAGGTTGACATTTATTTATTTAAATTTATTTATTTTGGCTGAGCCAGGTCTTAGTTGCAGCACACGGACTTATTTGTTGTGCATGCGAACTCTTAATTGCGACAGGCATGCGGGATCTAGTTCCCCAGCCAGGGATTGAACTCGGGCCCCCTACACTGGACCACCAGGGAAGTCCCCCTATTATTTTTTAAATGTGCATACCACTAATTCACCTTCAAACTATCCCTTGCCTAAGTTCTTTCTTAAATAATTTAAATGTATCAGGTATTTGATTTGACATTTTCTTTTCTTAGAAATAACTTTCTTAGAGGGTTCTACCTTGCTCCATTATGATTGGTGGTACTATTCCCAGTGTTCAGCTGCCATCCTGGGAGTTCCTTTTGCTTTTTTCTTGAGTTGAAACCCTTGTTTCCTGAATTTCTTGGTTTACCCTCTCCGCTTGGTGGAAAATCTCCTCTAGCTTTCTAAGAAAGAATCTCTGGGATGTAAATTTTTGAGAACTTGTCTGTCTAAAAGTGTCTTTCTTCTAGCTTCATACTTAATTTATATATATATATATATATATATATATATTTTTTTTTTTTTTTTTTTTTTTGGCGGTATGTGGGCCTCTCACTGTTGTGGCCTCTCCCATTGCGGAGCACAGGCTCCAGACGTGCAGGCTCAGCGGCCATGGCTCATGGGCCCAGCCGCTCCGCGGCATGTGGGATCTTCCTGGACCGGGGCACGAACCCATGTCCCCTGCATCAGCAGGCGGATTCTCAACCACTGCGCCACCAAGGAAACCCATTAATTTATATTTTTGACTGCATACAGAAGAAAGTAATTTTTCCTTAGAATTTTGGAGACATTGCTTGCTCTCTTGTCTTCTAGCTTCCAAAGTTTCTCTTGAGATGTTTGATGCCATTCTGATTCGTATGTGATCTATTTTCCTGTCTTGAAACTTTTAAGATGTTTTTTTATTCCCAGTATTTTAAAAAATTAATGATAATGTGCCTTGGTGTCGGTTTGTCTTCATTTATTGTGTTTGACACTCGATAGCCTCTTTCAATTTGGAAATTCATGTCCTTCAGTTCTGGAGGTTTCCTTTTATTATTTGACTTATTCTTCTCTAGTTTCTCTTTCTAGAATGTCTATTAGGGATGTTTTCTTATTTTTCTTTTTTCTTCGTCCATTTGTCCTACTTTTTGGAAGATTTATTTCGCTTTATTTTTCACTCCTTCTATTGTGTTTTTAATTTCTGCTATCATATTTTTAAGTGTACCCATTCTTATGATCAGTTTCCTTTTTAATATTATTCTTTTTTCGTGGGTACAGTATCTTTTATCTTTTTGTGGGTATTAGTAATAGTTTTTTTTTAAGTTTTCATATTCTTTTATAGTTGCTATTTTTTCTGTTTGTTGGTTTTGGCTTCTGTCTGCACTTGAGAGCTATATCTTACTTGCCTGATCCTTGGATATGTGCTCATGCTTAAAGAGTGCAGCACTGGGACTTCCCTGGTGGCGTAGTGGTTAAGAATCCTCCTGCCAGTGCAGGCGACGCGGGTTCGAGCCCTGGTCCGGGAAGATTCCACATGCCGCAGAGCAGCTAAGCGTGTGTGCCATAACTACTGAGCTTGCGCTCTAGAGCCCATGAGCCACAACTACTGAGCCCGTGTACCACAGCTACTGAAGCCCACATGCCCTAGAGCTGGTGGTGCTCTGCAACAAAGGGCAGCCACCACAATGAGAAGCCCGTGTACCACAATGAAGAGTAGCCCCCGCTCGCTGCAACTAGAGAAAGACTGTGCACAACAATGAAGCCCCAACACAGCCAAAAATAAATAATAAGGGACAAACAAACACATTTAAAGAGTGCAGCACCAAAAAACTGATAGGAAATTGTGAACTTATTTATAGTGGGTTTCCCTATAGTGTTATCTGGCTGTCATATTTTGATGGTGAACTCCTAATGTCAGACTCTTTAAATCTTTTGTCTTGATCTGGTGGGGTATTCAGAGAAAAATCTTCAGTCCCCTTCCTGTAGGGTATAAGGCTGGCTGGCAAGTTCTACGAAGATATCTAGGCAGAGATCTCAATACTTGGAATATAGACTTTCTCTTAAATTCCCTATTTTCAGAATGGTGACCCTGCTCTCAACTGTGTTGGGTGTAGATTAACCCTCTTTTCTTCAGCCAGAGTAGGGCAATCTGGATGGCAGAGTAGGGGAAGGGATTTCAAGGGACTTTCGATGATTCCTCCTGTGTTAGCTCCATCTTTACTGGAAGGTGCTAGGCCCAACACTTCCTGAGCCTTTTGGGGGTTCTCTGGTGTGAATTGGGCTACTTCTTGGCTTTCTCCACTGTGAGCTCAGGATTCAATTTTAAGGAGTCCCCTTATCACTTGTCTTTTTTCTTTCTAGCCTTTATAGTTTTGTCGCTCTAATATCTTCCTCCATTCTCCTTTACTTTGTGAATTATGCCTAGAGAGAAAAATTCTCTTTACTGTTGTTTTACGTGGGTTTTGGGAGGGTGTGGAGATGAATGTATGTGTTCTATCTTCAGAACCCTGTTTCTTTCAGTAACACTATTGTCTCTACTCACTTGTGCTTGAAACATGGGAATAATTTGTCTTTTCACTTAAAATATATTTATTGATCATTTATTGAGTACTTACTATGTGCCAGATTCTGTACTAGGCATCTGGTTTTCTTTTTTTTTGTGGTACGCAGGCCTCTCACTGTTGTGGCCTCTCCCGTTGCGGAGCACAGACTCCGGACGCGCAGGCCCAGCGGCCGTTGCTCACGGGCCCAGCTGCTCTGCGGCATGTGGGATCTTCCCGGACCGGGGCATGAACCCGTGTCCCCTGCATCGGCAGGCGGACTCTCAACCACTGTGCCACCAGGGAAGCCCTAGGCATTTGGTTTTTAAACACTTAAAAAAAAAAGTATAGTTCCTGGCTTGAAGTTGTTCAGGGTCTAGCTGGGGAGAAAGGTAAGTGAATAGGCAAACCATGAAAATGGTAAAAATATGTGGAGGGGGCTCAGAGCAGGCAGTGGCTCTGTCAGGGAGTGTGTAGGCTCCTGCTGCTGCACCCAGACTGCACTTTTCTCCCTTTTCATTGTCTGTGCTTTTCCATTTTGTTCTTTAGCTTATGGTGACCCCTTAGCCTAGACTCTCTGGTATTTTTTGGTATTGAAATCCATCTTAAGTCCATCTTAAGTTGTCCATCTTAAGTTGGTATAACGTAGGCTGATCTTTTGGGAGGAGAGTGAGGTGGCCCCCTCTGCAAAAAGTGTTTCCTCAAGCCCATGGCTCTGGTAAAGCACTCCCACTGTGCTGTATCTTTTCCTCTCAGTTGACACATCTGGCATATCTTGTGTTAGAGTCATTTATATGTTTGTCTTACCTCCTTTACTGGTCTATAAACTCCTTGAGAGTAGTGTCTATATCTGATTCACTTATATAATCTCGAAGTGACTAGCATCGTGGTTAATAAATGTGTTCAAGATGATAAACCTTTGCTGTGTCCCTTCAAATTGAACTCAAAACTCAAAAGAAAAACAATTTAAAAGTCTTCAGGGACAGGATTTTGATTTCAGGTATGGGTATCAGAATATGATTGTAGAGCACTAACAGCAGGGGACAGACATTGCTGCACTCTTGGTAAGAACTGCTGTGTTTGTGGCAGCTTTTACTGTTAAGCCAGTATCGTTGGCTGGTTTGCACTGATACAGTGACGTTTACTAAGCAGAGGTCTTGCAAAATGATTCTGGATAAGAGCATTTCAAGGTCAAAGTCTTGTAAAGCTTTTATTTTCCGAGAGGATGAAGAACCATAAAATTATTTTCTGTCCCAAATGGCTCTGTAATCTTCTAAGTGTTTTATAGCATATCATGTTGATAAGCATGTGTTTTTAAGGCATTGATGATAAACTGTTTCAAATTGTGAGTTTTATTTAAAAATTCCCATTTGAACCACACAAGGACCAGGGTGCACATGGGCCTTGGATACAGTGCAGTGACTTGCTCAAAATGAAATGCTGGTATTTACTTGGTCCCTCAGTATGTGGAATTTCATCACTCCTTGGATAGTGGCTAAGGTCAGGTCCACATGCAGAAGATGTAGTTTAGATAGATGTAGTGAAATTGGATTGTGTTAGTTTTCTTTTTCTTTCTTAAATCCAGGCAATGATTGCTTTGTTTTTAGTATTAAGAGGGAAACAGAGTGTGATTTCTCATATAATCTGACTGATGTGACTGAAGCTTCTGGCACTGATGTTCAGATTTTCTCTCTTCAGTGTCAAGGAGGGCTAACTACTTTAGATGTCTCTTTTGGTTCATCCAGTTTACCTATAGTTATTGCAAGGGGAAAGGTTTTGGTTTTGGCTGTATTTCTAGTGTACATAATCTTTAAACTCAAGAGATGTTTAAATGTGTGCCTGGCCAGTCAAATCGGGTTTTACCCTGGGAGCTGTGCTTTGGAAGCTGAGTTAAAGCCTGAGAAGCAGCTTTTTTTTGTTTTTAAATCCTTTTCCTTGGCCAACCCTTGGTCTGTGTATGGCAGCCATTATCATTCTGTGGAACTGGGACACTGCTCAAGGCCCAGGGGAGTGAAGATGGATCTTCTTTAAGGCCTTTGTCATTTGGGCTGCTCAGGTGGCTCTGTTAGCGAGCGAGGTTTGGTCTTTCGTATCCCATTCCTCAGGATCCAGTTGTTTTAGAGCCCTGTCTGACCCCACCAAGCACACAAGGTGGCTTGCTTCCTTTCAGCATATTTTTGTTTTCTATTTTCAGGGACTTCCTTATGTCTCTGATGCTCTGCTAGGTTATAACTCAGCTTGGGCTGGGTCCTGTGTGTAGTGTCTGTGCTGTGCATGTGAAGCAAACCTCATGCTTGGCCCAGCAGAGGGCAGCCGTGGCAAGTCGTGAGTCTCTTCTTTCTTCCACGCTCATTCTTGCTGTCAACACCTGATCTTTAGCCTCCTCCACACCATGCAAGGCTCTTTTAACATTTTGTGTAGTTTTACATTCTGCATTTTGGACAGTGCTCTTAAGTTTTTTCTTTTTAGGAAGGTGCTGAATGAAACTGGAATACTTAATTTAAAAGCCTTATGAAAAGTTATGCATAATTAAAAATAAGTCATTAGATGAACTGAATAATTTGTGTGACATTTAGGCCTGGTGGAATTCTAGAGGTGTGATTTGAGATCAAAACAAACTTAAACGTTTTTTTATTTTTGTAATTTGAAGCTTTGGGATGTGAAATCAGCAAACGAGAGGAAGAGCATTAATGTGAAGCAGTTCTTCCTAAATTCAGAGGAGCCTCAAGAGGATATGGAAGTGATAGTGAAATGCTGTTCATGGTCTGCTGATGGTGCTAGGATAATGGTGGCAGCAAAAAATAAAGTCTTTGTAAGTACCAGTATTTTAAAAAGCCAAAATTAAAAAGCCAAATTTAGTCTAATTTAAAGAAAATTGAAACATCTAATTGATTTTTGCATTTTATACTGTTTATTGATATAAAGTATAGCTGAACGAGTTTGGGCAGATGCTCTAACCTCCTATAGTTCTCAGAACTATGCTTCAGGGAATGTCCATAGGCCTTGTGAGGAAAGGTCTCCATGGTCATAGGTTTGGGAAATATTATGTATTACTTTCCGCTATTAGAGGTACTTCAGTGTGTACAAACATATTTAAGGACTCCGGAGTCCTACAATAAAGAAACAATTTATGTTGTTTAACCAGTGTTTCTCAAATTTATCTAAAATATGGATGGAATGCTTTCTGCATTACTCTCCCCCCTTTCCCCCATTTGAAATACATTGATTTTCGAAGTTATTTCTTAGCTGTAAAATTTTATGATTTGGTGACTGAGAGAAATACTTAACAACTGAAGAAGTTTGTGAAATTTCTATGAAGTAAATGAGGAAGATATGCAAAGAAAGGTAAATGGCAAAGAAATGTTTCTTCTTTATTCAAGTGATAGTTTACATTTGTAGTATTCAGAGTGCTCTTACGTATAATTTCTTTTGATATAAATATACAAAGGGCACAGCAGATTGCAATAGCCCTATGATAATAATGAGGCAGCTGAGGTTCAGAGCAGCCAAATAATGTATCCAAAGTTACACAGTGATTTGGAGAGCTGGGTCTTCTAATTTAGGGCACAGTGCCATTCCATTCTGATGGTAATTTTAAAGACTTAAATAAGAGATATTACAAGTTTATTCTGTTTTATTTTAAGCTTTATTGAGGTATAATCGACATATTATAAAATATTTAAAGTGTATAACGTGATGATTTGATAAACGTATACTGTGAAGAGATTCCTCCCATCAAACCAATTAACACGTGTCAGCTCATGTATTTGCCTTTTTTTCTTTTTCTTTCTTTTTTTTTTTGTTGAAAACATTTAAGTTCTACTCTCTTATACTATGCAATGTTATCAACTATAGTCACCATTTTATACATTAGATCCTCAGACCTTATTTATCTTATAACTAAAAGTTTGTATCCTTTTATCAACCTCTCCCTATTTCCCCCACCCAAGAGATTACAGTTTTAAAGAACACAGTTGAAATATACATATAGTTGGGGCCTTCCCTGGTGGCTGCGGAGCAACTAAGCCCGTGCGCCACAACGACTGAGCCTGCACTCTACAGCCCGCGATCCACAACTGCTAAAGCCTGTGTGCCACAACTACTGAAGCCTGCGCACCTAGAGCCCATGCTCTGTAACAAGAGAAGCCATCACAATGAGAAGCCTGCGCACCGCAACCAGAGAAAGCCTGCGCACAGCAACCAAGACCCAGTGCAGCCAAAAATAAATAAATTAATAAAATAAATCGAAAAAAATATATACATATAGTTGTATAAAAACTGAGGGGCTATTTATATTATTATTATTATTGATCTAGTAGTTATGACCCTTGGATCTTGGTTGCTTATAGGTTTTTACCCCTTTAGTAGGAAACCAAAGAAAAATATCTCCTTTTGTCTTTAAGTATGTTAAAGTCTGTAAGAATAGAAAGGAACCACTACATTTACAAGATGTGAAGATTTGTAAAATTTGCCATTTTAACCATTTTAAAATACACAATTCAGTGGCATTAATTACATTCACAATCTTGTGCAGATATCACTACTTTTACAAAATTTTTTCATTGTCCCAAACAGAAACACTGTAACCAATAAGCAGTAACTCCCTATTCTCTCTCTTCAGCCCCTGGTACCTCTAATCTAAACTATGAATTTGCCTTTTCCAGATATTTCATATAAGTGGAGTCGTACAATATTGATCCTTTTGGGTATGGCTCATTTCATTTAGCATAACATTTTCAAGGTTCATTCATGTTGTAGCATGTGTTAGAACTTCATTTCTTTTTATGGCTGAGTAATAATCTTATATGGATATACTGTATTTTGTTTATCCATTCATCTGTTGTTGGGTTGTTTTCACCTTTTGGCTATTGTGAATAATGCCACAAGAACTAGTGTACAAGTATCTGTTTGAGTCCCTGCTTTCAGTTCTTCTGTGTATATACCTAGGAGTAGAATTTCTGGGTCGTATGGTAATTTTATACTGGGCTTTTTGAGGAACCACCAGACCTTTCCATAGTGGCTATACCATTTTCTGTTCCCACTAGTAGTGTACAAGGATTCCAATTTCTTTACATCCTGCCAACACTTGCTTTTTTCCATTATTAAAAATTATAACTGTCATATTAGGTGTAAAGTGACATCTCATTATGGTTTGGTTTGCATTCCCCTAAGGACTAATGGTGTTGAGCAAAATTTGAATGTTTAAAATTATCTGTCCAGTGAGAGAGGAAAATAATTTTATATTGTGTGAAATGGTTTCCTGTTTTAAAAATCTATAGGCCAACTCTTTATTTTACCATGCTAAAATAAAGCTACCCTAAGATTACCCTTTACTACATACAGATTCCAGTTCTTACTCTTCGGTCTCTCTATTCTTTTCCTCTATTTCTTTCCAATTCTCTTGTGTTATTAGCCCACTCCTATTATTAGGTCTTTTTGCTACCCAATAATTGGGACAGCTGCCTATTCTGTACTTGCCAAGTTTCCTCTATGACTGTCAGCCACTAATTTTTAAGAACAACTTGTCCTGGGAAGCATTTTAAGTATGATTTCCTTTCATTTATTGTTGGCCCCTGATGCTATGCTGCTTACCGTCTATGTGTGCTCACAGGGCTATGCATTCACAAAACATTTTCATGGCTTCCACTGGAAACTTTTTTTTTCCTTCCTGAAGACTATGGCTTGGCCTTAAATCATTATACTGTATATTGGTATAAATGTTTTTATCATTTGGCAAAAACTTTGGAAGAGTATATTCATCATGTAAACATCTTTCAAAAATTGAAATGAAGTTTGAATTACTCAAAAATAGCTTTTTTTGGTTCAAAAATGGGAAAATGATTGATAATGGAGTAATTTAGGCTCTAAAGAGAAATAGAAATGAACTAATTTCATTTTAGTAAGCCTCTGCCCTATATTATTTTGATCATCTTCATTTATGAGTAGTATTTTCTCTTTTGAATAAACGAGCATTAGGGAGAACTGTTCTGTATATTAATTTGGCTAGTCCATTCATGTATTCACAAAGGTTTCATTTCTCCCTAGGCTAGCATGATCATCTGTGATAAGTTTTCCTTTATAGGAAACATGTTGCAGGATGAGCAGTATTTAAAAAGTATATGTATATTAATTTATATCTTTTTAAAGAGTTAATAATTTTGCCAATTATCAGTAATTGTAGTATTTTTTTTAGGACTTACACTCTATGTTTGAAATGGGAGGGTATTCTTTTCGAAATAAATTTAGATTCACTTTGGGTATAGCTTATCTTTTAACATATTTACTTTTATAGATATCTCTCTATTTTATGTTGACAGCTGTTTGACATTCACACCAGTGGCCTGTTGGCAGAAATCCACACAGGCCATCATAGCACTGTCCAGTACTGTGACTTCTCCCCCCATAACCATTTGGCAGTGGTGGCTTTGCCCCAGTACTGCGTGGAGGTGAGTAGTTGAAGTTACTCTGTGAAGTCTGGGTCTTCAGAGGTACAAGGATGACAAAGAATGGGTTGCTTAAAGCATTAACTGCTGAGGATGTTTGCTTGAGAAATTATAGAGTGTTTTCTTCATAGCATAATGACCTTTAGCTTTAGGATATTAAGCCGCATTAACAGCTTTAATACTTTAGCAGTGATTGAAGAATTGGTTTGACAGTAAACAGAGAATGACAGACAGCATCATTCACCAGGCATTTATCGAACAGTCAGTATGTGCCAAGGTCTGGGGAAACAATGGCATGACCATTGGTTTCCTAGGCAGAAACATGGCATCTCTTAAATATGGGCACAGACTCTTCTGTAAAAGAAACGATGAGAAATGAGTCCAGTTCACATTTCTTAGATCATTGAGAAAGGTAAGATGGAAGTTAAAATTAGAATTGGTTAACCTAGAATTTTCATTGCTAAGCACTAATGAATAAAATGATTTCTTGTTTATATTTATAATTTTGCCCTTAACCTGATGGATTTTATACTCAGTGTCTATACCTAGAAGAATTCTACCCAGTGAGTTGCTGTATTAATTTTTTCAAAAGCAATGAATTCCCTGATATTTTTTCTCCATAGATGGATTAGTTTTTCTAAGCTTTGTTACTACTCATTCCTTGAGTTTATCTTACCACCAAGTAATTTGAAGCCCCTTGTGATTACAGTCCAAGAAGATGGGTTTGGGCCTTTATTTGGAAAATAGGGAAATTCATTTGGTTCACAGGCTACCTTCAAAGGAAGCTTGACTATGGCAAGCACTTCTTCAGTGTTCTGAGCCTGTTTCATTGATTTTTTAGTGAGTTCACCAACCTTGCCCTATACATGAAGGTGTGGCTGGAGAGTGGCTGAGCTATATAGCCCTTCAGCATGGAGATACAAGCAAGATGAGAGTGAGTGGATAAGCTCTGTAAGCTCCTCCTAATTCTGAGTACAGCAGTGCAACTAACACTGAATAACTTCCCTGTGAGAATCTTCCCATTGGAAGCAGAGGCAGTGAGTGTGAATGAGCTCCAGTCCTGTTTGCAACAGTGGGAGAGAGTGGGTGCTGTGGGCAGTGTTCTGTTCAGCAGAGGCCTTGAATCGAAAGATTCAGAGCTACTAGGAGATCTCACACCTTACCCGTAGATCCTCAAGGTAGGCGTGCTTGGAAATTTCCCCTTCCTGGGTTTTGTCTGGATTTTAGGAGGAGTGGAGGAGCAGCCCTTCTTGTGGCCTTTCCTGTCACTTCTAAAATCCTTACCCCTTGCTATTCTTAAAAATCTCCTGGAAACATTGTCTTTCTTCTTGAAATATAGGGACTTAGTTTTGGAGGCTGTGAGTGACAAAGAAATGATGAGAGAGAGCAAGAAGGGAAGAGAAAGAAGGATTTTCAAGGGAGATTTTTCAGTTGTAGAACTACTTTCATTTCTGGCCTTTAGCTCTGTATGTCCCAGATTGGACTCCAGAGATAAGGCAGAGAAAATTTCACATAACGAATTGGTAACCATAGAACTCACTGATTGAAAACTACTGGGCGTGTGATGAAGTACTTGTTTTGTCCATGCTAGTTCTGAAATCATAAAGTAGGTCTGTAATTCAGAATGTAATGAGAGGAACTCAGGCACATATGGTACTTCATTAGACTGGAATATATTTGAGTAATTTGCAGCAGAACTCAGGACAAAATACAGCCAGGCTAGTGATAGACATTGACAATTTGTAATAAGCATGAATAACAGGAGAAGTATATACATGTACACTTAGCACATTCATTTGTTTTAGGGTTTTGCAGTCATTTGAAATGAGGATTAGATGACAGTGGAAAGTAAAATATGGAAACCACTTATGTTCATCCTATTATTTTTTTAGATTGATTTTTAAAAAATGGATAAAACGTTTGTATGACTCCAAATCAAAGCTTTATAATAAATTTTATTCAGGGAAGTCTGACTTTCATCCCTATCCCTTCCCTGCCACTCTCCCTTCCTACTTTACCTACTGAAGGTAACCGTTTTTGTCTTAACATCCTAATGTTTCTTTTTGCATGTATAAGCAGATATCTATATGTATAATATATAGCCTTATATATCCATCTATATATATATCACATCTCTAGAGTCACATTTTTTATCTCATTTAGTATAGCTTGCATATATATATATATACACACACACACACACACACACACACACACACACACACAGAGAGAGAGAGAGAGAGAGAGAGAAACATATATACCCTTCTGCAGAAATGTATATACCATTCTTTGCTTTTTTGGTGTAAACAACATATCCCAGAGACTAGTCATTATCAGGGTGTTTTTCTCATTACTTTCTTAAGATTGCATATTATCCCATTTTGTGATTAATGCAGTTTATTCAGTTAGTTCCCTATTGATGGTCATTTGAGTTGTTTCCAGTTTTTTGCTGTTAAAAATAACAATGCAGTGAATAATCCACACAAATTATTTTGTATTTTTGCTAGTGTATTTTTGGGCTATATTCATGGAAGTGGAATTGCTGGATCATTCTTGCTATTTTTAATATTCTTGATCTATTCAAAATGCTTATGAATGTGATTTCCTATTTGTTGTGTTTATTCTGTAGTTGTGGAATATGGACTCATGTTTAAAAGTAGCTGATTGTAGAGGACATTTAAGTTGGGTCCATTGTGTGATGTTTTCTCCTGATGGATCATCATTTTTGACGTCTTCTGATGACCAGACAATCAGGGTGAGATATATTGAGATTTTCATTTTAGACATTTAATGATGGTAAGCTAAATCTCCTAGTTAAGAAATTGATGGGCAGCAGTATTGAGGGAAGTAAAACAGGAAACTGCTGGTTTCATATTTATCCTTGAAAAGAGCTATTATGTGGACTATAGCAGTCTCATTCATTCAGTACATGTTAATTGAGTGTTACCATGGTCCAGGTGCTGGAGAAGTCCAATGATTAAACTGTATTTTGGTTAATTTAAATATATTACATTTGAGTCCTCAGAGTAACTTTTGACTCTTTCCATTACCTTGAATTCCCAAATCCAATTACTTGCCAATTCTAATGGATTCTATTGATACCTTTCCATTTTCTATCATTTCTTTCTACTTTTCCATTTCAAGTTTAGGTGCTCATTAGCTGTTGCCTTTCTTGCATTAGTCTCTGCTACAAGTCTTTTCTTTCTTGGTTTTTTACATGCTGCTTGCAAGGTATATTCCTCATGTACAATACAGTCATGTAATTTTTTTTTTTTGGCCAAGTGGCTTGCAGGAGCTTAGTCCCCTAACCAGGGATCGAACCCATGCCCCCTGCAGTGGAAGCGTAGAGTCTTAACCCCTGGACCGCCAGGGAAGCCCCCAGTCATGTCATTTTTGCTCAAAACAGATAGTAGCTCCCTTGTCTACCAAAGTATTGGGTTGGCCAAAAAGTGCCTTTGGTTTTTGAGTAAAAATAAGACATATTTTTCATTTTCATCAAGAACTTTGTTGAACAACTTATTCACCCTTTCGTTCCACTACCTTCTGCCATTTTTCCAGGCAACTTCATAATTGCATCTTCCCAAAACTTTTTATCTTTTTGAGCAGAGAATTGTTCCAGGTGCCTTTTACAGTCTTCCAGGGAATTGAAATTTTTTCCATTAAGAGAATTTTGTAAAGACCTAAGTAAATGGAAATCCGAAGGTGCAACATCTGGTGAATACGCAGATGAATCAGAACTTCCCAGCCAAGCTGTAACAGTGTTTGCCTGGTCATCAAAGAAACATGTGGTCTTGCATTATCCTGATGGAAGATTATGCGTTTTCTGTTGACTAAGTCTGGACGCTTTTCGTTGAGTGCTGCTTTGATTTGGTCTAATTGGGAGCAGTAATTCTTAGAATTAATCGTTTGGTTTTCCGGAAGGAGCTCATAATAGAGAACTCCCTTCCAATCCCACCATATATGCAACATCACCTTCTTTGGATGAAGACCAGCCTTTGGTGTGGTTGTTGGCGGTTCATTTCGTTTGCCCCACGATCTCTTCCGTTTCACGTTACTGTACAGTATCCACTTTTCATCGCCTGTCACAATTTGCTTTATTAATTAATTAATTAACATCTTTATTGGAGTATAATTGCTTTACAATGTTGTGTTAGTTTCTGCTGTGTAACCAAGTGAATCAGCTATACGTATACATATATCCCCATATCCCCTCCCTCTTGCGTCTCCCTCCCAACCTCCCTATTCCACCGCTCTAGGTGGTCACAAGGCACAGAGCTGATCTCCCTGTGCAATGCAGCTGCTTCCCACTAGCTATCTATTTTACATTTGGTAGTGTATATATGTCAGTGCTACTCTCTCACTTCGTCCCAAATGGAACGTTTCAGTAGAGAATTGCATGTGGAAATATGATCAAGAAGGTTTTTTTCACTTATGTGGAACCCAAACATTAAAGCAGTGAACATATTCAAGCTGGTGCAGGTGATTTTCAGCGCTTGATTTGGATATTTTGAGTATGTCGGCTATCTCCCGCATGGTATAACGTTGATTGTTGTCAATTAATATCTCGATTTGATCGTTATGAACTTCAACTGGTATACCCGACTGTGGAGCATCATGCAGCAAGAAATCTCCAACACAAAACTTCGCAAACCATTTTTGACATGTTTGGTCTGTCACAGCACCTCCTCCATACACTGCACAAATCTTTTCTTTTGTGTTTCGGTTGCGTTCTTTTTTTAAAAATAAATTTATTTATTTATTTTTGGCTGTGTTGGGTCTTCCTTGCTGTGCACGGGCTTTCTCTAATTGCGGTGAGCAGGAGCTACTCTTCGTTGTGGTGCTTGGGCTTCTCATTGTGGTGGCTTCTCTTGTTGCGGAGTGTGGGCTCTAGGCACGTGGTCTTCAGTAGTTGCAGCACATGGGCTCAGTAGTTGTGGCTCACAGGCTCTAGAGCACAGGTTCAGTAGTTGTGGTGCATGGGCTTAGTTGCTCCGCGGAATGTGGGATCTTTCCGGACAAGGGCTCGAACCTGTGTCCCCTGCATTGGCAGGTAGATTCTCAACCACTGCGCCACCAGGGAAGCCCTTGGTTGCGTTTTTACCTTTTGAAATGATAAAGCATAATATGCCCAAAATGTTGCTTTTTTCTTCCATCTTCAATATTAAAATAGCTACACAAAAATTCACCAATTTTATAAGTCTTTTTTTTTAAATGCATGCTGATATGGCAGTTGTCACATATAGTCTAATAAAATTGTTTCGAATGAAGTTAAAGACAACTAAGTGCTACTAGAGCCATATTACGGAAAAAACTGAATGAACCTTTTGGCCAACCCAACAAATACGTACTCCAAAGTCTGCCATTAAACTTCTCTACAGTACAGCCTATTCTGTACCAGTCTGTCTTCTGTTTTATTCCTACAAGTAACCTACACTGAATTGCTCACATTTCCCCAAACACCCTGTACTTCCCTGCTTCTGTACTTTTGCTTATGTATTTTCTTTTTTTTTTTAAAGGTATTTTTAAAAAATATTTATTTTATTTATTTATTTTTGGCTGCGTTGAGTTTTTGTTGCTCTGCAGGGGCTTTCTCTAGTTGTGGTGAGCGGGGGCTGCTCTTCGTTGCAGTGCACGGGCTTCTCATTGCGGTGGCTTCTTTTGTTGCAGAGCACAGGCTCCAGGTGCTTGGGCTTCAGGAGCTGTGGCTTGCGGGCTCCGGAATGCAGGCTCAGCGCTCCGCGGCATGTGGGATCCTCCTGGACCAGGGCTCAAACCCGTGTCCCCTGCATTGGCAGGCGGATTCCCAACCACTGTGCCACCAGGGGAGCCCTATGTGTTTTCTTATGTTTGGAATAACCTACTTCTCTGTATCTCTCCTTGTCGAAAACCTAACAGCCCTACAAGTCCCCTCAAGCTTTCAGTGAAGTCTTTCCTAGTATTCCATTTGGGGAAATGTCTTTCTCCTTTAATGCTATGTGACTGTGTGTCATTTTCTTATGGTACTTATCAAATTGTGCCTTGAATTTAAGCACAGAGTTATTTTTTTTTAACATCTTTATTGGAGTATAGTTGCTTTACAGTGGTGTGTGAGTTTCTGCTGTATAACAAAGTGAATCAGCTATATGTATACATATATCCCCATAGCCCCTCCCTCTTGTGTCTCTCTCCCACCCTCCCTATCCCACCCCTCTAGGTGGTCACAAAGCACCCAGCTGATCTCCCAGCACAGAGTTATTTTAAAACTCTTTACCACTAATGCTTCACTGCCCCTCAGACTTGTTCACACATCTTAAATTATAAGCCCTTTGAGGCCGGAGACCCTGGTTTGTCCCTGTAGCATCTAATACAGTGTTTTGTACAAATTTGTGTTTAGCTAAAATTTGTTTAGTATTTACTGTATGCCAGACATTGGGCAAAGTACTGTGCCTGTGTTAATTTGCTATTTCTCATAGCAATCCTTTTTTGCAGCTGAGGAAACAGCCACAGAAAGGTTAAGTCAGTGCTGTTTAAAGTGCCGGTCTCAATAAGGTTGAGCCAGAATGTAAATCAATGCATTGCTTCCTTCATCAAGAAAGTCTTGTTTAAAAAAATCAACTGTATCATAAGCATACTGTTACCAGTGTGTTTAGTGATATAGCTGATTTGCTCCTTATCTTGGTATCAAGCAGTGAGAAACAGCAGGAGGTCCTTATCTTTGAGCAGCACCAGGTTAAGTAATCTGCCCAAAGTCACAACTTTCAGTAGAACTAGAATTCATACTAAGGCATTTTGATTCTAGCATTCATTACTCTTAATAATAACTGCTTCTTCCTATACTATGTAATTAATAAATTTTTATTGTTGAATTATAATCTAATTGAAAATTTTCTAGCATTATAGGCATTTGGAGAGTGAAGTATGATTGTATATTGTTGTTAACACTAAGACTTGTCTTTGCATTATTTCAGAGAATGCAGTTATCTTACTTTAGTATTTTAATTTCTCAATCAGCTCTGGGAGACAAAGAAAGTATGTAAGAACTCTGCTATAGCGTTAAAGCAAGAAATAGATGTTGTGTTTCAAGAAAATGAAGTGATGGTTCTTGCAGTTGATGATATAAAACGTCTGCAAGTGAGTATTTTTTAGAAAATAGTTGGAAAAAGTGTTTTGATTGAACTCTCAATTCAAAATTTTTCTTGTTTGTTTTTGGACTTGATCATGCGTAATTGTATAGTATCTAACAGATGATCAGTAGGTATCAGTTTTATAAATATGTGGGTCTTGAGCTGAGGCTCACATATGCTAGTATTTAGAATTAAACAAGGTGATACCTTGCTTTACCTCATTCCTCTCCTGTTAGTAACTGGAAGACAGGGAGCAAGAACATGTGAGAGAATGAGATGAGATAATGGAATGGAACTAGAGTGAAGAGAGAAATGGAATAGAGGAGAGGGAAATAGAGGGAGCACGCACATGAAAGGTGTAAAATGTAGCAAGAGCTTGAGACAGACTGACAGGGTAGGATGGAGCTTAACAAGTTCTAAAGCTGCAAAGCTCAGCTTGATGTAGTAGAGGGAATAGTGACTGTTCACTGAGGAGACCAAGGTACAAGTTCAAGCTTTATCATCAGCCAGTTCTGTGATGTTGAGTAAATAGCATCACTTCTCTGAAACTCACTTTCTTCACCTGTAAGGTCCTTCTCATTTTCAAAAATCTGTAAGCTGCTTTATAGGGTCAAGGTGGAATCCAAACTCAGGAAGCAGAGATCTGGGAATAAATTGTCTATGGCGTGTGGTAATTTCTTCTCGTCTGCTGTGTGGGTCAGAGTCAAGCTGTGAGACTCCTCTAAATATGGCTTGTTTTGTATTTTACAAGTTTTACTATTGTCCTGAATGTGTCGATGAGGAGCTCCTAATGCCCTGTATTTCTGGGATGAATTGGGATGTGGAATTGAATGTGATTTCCTCATTACTGATTTTTAGCAGACTGATTCTTCCACTTGGGGGTTTTTTCCACTACAGCTTTCTTGTCAGGTTCAATGCTTATATTACCTTTATTAAATTTGTGCAACCTTTCTTTAATAGTTGTCATAACTGAGACTTCAAGAAGTCATCTGACTATAAAAGTATTTTATTCTATGTCATTGATTGTGGGAGAGTTTAGAGGACAGTTAAACTGACAAGTAATAGTTCCATTTAAGTGAACATACATTTTTTAGTCACTACTTAAAAAAGTATGGAAATTGATTTTTGAGGGAAAGAAGATAATCACCTTTTAGTAATTCAGTCTTCATTTTGAATGTCTAATAGATCAGAACATGCCGGGTAAAATATTGTAAAGGAAAAGCTATCTTGATTGATTGACCCTATAATCTTTGTACGTGAAATGAAGGTGACTGCTTATTTCGTATTGAAAAATAATTCAAGACTTTTAGGTTGTAATTGAAGTTAGAGAGATAGATCTGACAGTTTATTTAAGATTGAGAAATATTTTCCCAGGTCACATGTTTTAGTTGAGTGATAAGGTATTTTTATTAGTGGGATTTTAAAGAATAATCATTAGTTTGGGTACAGGTTATGAAACTTGGTACTCTTAGTCTATGCATTACAACCCAAATTGTGCTAATGGGTTGTTCTCCAATGCCTCCTCCTCCCAAAAGAAAAAGCGGAAAAAAATCTTAATTTATACTGTTTGGTGAGTAATTTGGAGGATATAAAACCCATTTTAATTTTAATTTGTCTTTTTATGTAATGTCTGTCTCAGTCGTGTTTCACCAAACCCCTTGAAAAATATCAGGGAAGTGTATTTTAATAAACGATAGCCCTATTAAAATGGGCTTTGTGAAGAAATGGGAAACAGTGTGGAGCTAGCTGTGGGATTGCAAATCAGACAGATGTGTCTCAGGTGGTGGGCACAGCAGCTGCTTTTTAAACCTTTTAAAGCTTGTTTTATTTTACGAAAATGTATATGAACCACAAAAGTGAAATGAAACGAAAGTGTGAAGTGCTAAATGCAGCTGCTGAGAATAGAATAGGGTTTTGTTGTTCCCCCTGGGAGCTCTCATTGGTTGTATTCATTTTAATTTTTTCAGTTGAAGTCTCTGTTCTAAAGAAGAAAAACTGCTCTTACAGTCTAATACTTGATTGTGACTTATTTTTCATTAGCTCCTTAATGGAAACACAGGTCAGATTGAGTATCTGACTGAAGCTCAAGTGAGTTGCTGTTGCTTAAGTCCACATCTTCAGTACCTTGCATTTGGAGGCGAAGATGGAGCCATTCGGGTATTCAGTTCTCTTCTGCAGAGGCATTCTGTGCAGTATAGTTTTTATTTAAAATTAATGATACACCTGGCATTGTAGACTTATATACTAAATAAATCTTTCTATGATAATTAGTCATTCCTCTGTTAGATTAAAAATAATCTTACAATCCTATTAGTTGTATATTTTTCATATTGCTTTTATTATTCTTTCTCATACTTTTTGTCTTTTTGTGTTCCTTATTCTCTGCCCAGTTGTCTTGCTGTTCTCCAAATATATCAAACACTCTCAGAGATTTAGCTAACTATGCAAAGAGCATTTTTTCTCTTCTTAGAAACTTGGCCATTTAGGGGTGTAAGTTGTTTCCATGTTGGTTCTGATCAGGTTCATCGGGAATATCAGTGCAGGTGCCTTATGTTTACCTATTTCACCAGTCCTCGCTGTTCTACTTTTGGTATTAGAAGTACACCAGTTTACCACCTGAAATCCTTAATTTATCAAATAAGATCAAATAAATAAAAATAAAATCAGCTTGTAAGGATAAAAAGACAGTATAATAAAAATCATTTTGGAAAAAAGTGATTTCATCACAAGTGAAATTCATCACAAAAGCACATTTTCTGTAGCTACATAATAGTTTTTAAAAGAATATTGACTCCTTTTCTCACTTGAGCTTTTTGGAATTGTTTCTTAATTTATTAATTATGCCACTGGCCACATTTATTTTACTTTGGATTCATTGTCGTAAGGAATTACACAAATGTTCTCCAGTCCATATTGCCCTACAAAGAGGAGTTTTTTTTACCTTTCAGCTTTATTGAGATATAATTGACATACAGCACTGTATAAGTTTGAGGTATACAGCATAATTATTTGACTTACATCATGAAATGGTTATCATAGTAAGTTTAGTGAACATCCACCATCTCATGTAGACACAAAATCAAAGAAACAGAAAAATATTTTTCCTTTTGATGAGAACACTTAGGATTTACGCTCAGTAACTTTCATGTAGAGTATACAGCAGTGTTAATTATATTTATCGTGTTGTACATTACATCCCTAGTGCTTACTTAGTACATATTTACTTTTTTTGGTGTGAGTTTATTTGAAAGCCTTTTTGACATAGTTGTTATTTTTTGAGTTCTTTTCTACTTTCTTATTCTCTGTATTTGGCATATTAATCTTTAGCCCTTTCAAGTCTCCTCAGTGTACTGCCTCCCAGCCTGCTCGTATGCTCTTTTCCTTTACCTGTCTCCCTCATCATCCTTTATCTTGCATTGTCTCTGTGTTGTTTAATAAAGAGCTTGCCTTGTCTCTCATACAGGATTTTTTTTTTTCTTCCTTCTCATCCATCTTAAATGTCATTTTCTTTTTGGAGGCTGAGCTCAGACTGCTACTTGTGTGATGAATTGGGTGGTTGAATTCTCAAGAAGGACCACTGGTTCCTACTGCCATCTGGTCATTCCAGTGAATGTTTTATTTTAGGGTGTGTATGTGTGTGTGTGCATAGATGTGCATGTCTGTATTTGTGCCGTTCATTTGTGTATCTTTAGTTAAACTGAAAGCACTGAGATGGAAATTCTATACCCTTCTGTAGTCTAGTTTCGATTTAATATTTTGGGGTTGTAATGCCTGGGTGTTGCTGAATTTCTTCGTATTAATTTTCTCTGGTTTTTTACTTTGAAGATTTTAGAAATCCTAAACAACAGAATCTTCCAATCCAGGACTGGGCACAAGAACACTGTACGGCACATCCAGTTCACAGCTGATGCAAAGACTCTTATCTCAAGCTCTGATGACTCTGCAATTCAGGTGAGAGGGAGGTTGAACTTCTTCAGGTGAGAGGGAGGTTGAACTTCTAACATACATAATGCTGACTCTAATGAAGGGACACTTTGATTATGCCTCAAATCTGATATGTATTTTAAACTTTCAGATCAGGTTATTTTGGGCTTCCCTTTAGATTATGCACATGGGCGTAAATGAAACCCATATTTTTCTGTGAGTGAGGCAGGCAGTTTGACTCAGAACCCTCTAGTGGGAGATTCTTTATTTTGAAAATGAAGCATTCATTTGAATTCTCCCACCTGCCTTCATATTTGAATCAATAAATATACTTTTTGCCACATTTATGTTATTTCTGTTTTACTTTACAGTAGTAAAATCTAATTGAAATAATTTCATTCTTTCTTTAAGAGTAAGATGTTTACTACAGGGATAAAATCCTGTGAAAAAAGAATAGTTTACCATAACGAAGGATTATGGATCTAGAGGCCTTAAGCCTACTGTATGTTCTTTTATTTTTTAATTTTTTAAACATCTTTATTGAGGTATAATTCTTTTACAGTGGTGTGTTAGTTTCTGCTTTATAACAAAGTGAATCAGCTATACATATACACACATCCCCATATCTCCTCTGTCTTGCGTCTCCCTCCCACTCTTCCTATCCCAGCCCTCTAGGTGGTCACAAAGCACCGAGCTGATCTCCCTGTGCTATGTGGCTGCTTCCCACTAGCTACCTATTTTACATTTCGTAGCATATGTAAGTCCATGCCACTCTCTCACTTCGTTGCAGCTTACCCTTCCCCCTCCCCGTGTCCTCAAGTCCATCCTCTACGTCTGCGTCTTTATTCCTGTCCTGCCCCTAGGTTCTTCAGAACCATTTTTTTTTTTAGATTCCATATGTATGTGTTAGTATATGGTATTTGTTTTTCTCTTTCTGACTTACTTCACTCTGTATGACAGATTCTAGGTCCATCCACCTCACTACAAATAACTCAATTTGGTTTCTTTTTATGGCTGAGTAATATTCCATTGTATATATGTGCCATATCTTCTTTATCCATTCATCTGTCGATGGACATTTAGGTTGCTTCCATGTCCTGGCCATTGTAAATAGTGCTGCGATGAACATTGTGGTACATGACTCTTTGAATTATGGATTTTTTCAGGGTATATGCCCAGTAGTGGGATTGCTGGGTCATATGGTAGTTCTATTTTTAGTTTTTTAAAGAACCTCCATACTGTTTTCCATAGAGGCTGTATCAGTTTACATTCCCACCAACAGTGCAAGAGGGTTCCCTTTTCTCCACACCCTCTCCAGCATTTATTATTTGTAGATTTTTTGATGATGGCCATTCTGAGCGGTGTGAGGTGATACCTCATTGTAGTTTTGATTTGCATTTCTCTAATGATTAATGATGTTGAGCATCCTTTCATGTGTTTGCTGGCAATCTGTATATCTTCTTTGGAGAAATGTCTATTTAGGTCTTCTGCCCATTTTTGGATTGGGTGTTTGTTCTTTTGATATTGAGCTGCATGAGCTGCTTGTAAATTTTGGAGATTAATCCTTTGTCAGTTGCTTCGTTTGCAAATATTTTCTCCCATTCTGAGAGTTGTCTTTTCGTCTTGGTTATGGTTTCCTTTGCTGTGCAAAAGCTTTTAAGTTTCACTGGGTCCCATTTGTTTATTTTTGCTTTTATTTCCCTTTCTCTAGGAGGTGGGTCAAAAAGGATCTTGCTGTGATTTATGTCATAGAATGTTCTGCCTATGTTTTCCTCTAAGAGTTTTATAGTGTCTGGCCTTACACTGAGATCTTTAATACATTTTGAGTTTATTTTTGTGTATGGTGTTAGAGAGTGTTCTAATTTCATTCTTTTACATGTATCTGTCCAGTTTTCCCAGCACCACTTACTGAGGAGGCTATCTTTTCTCCATTGTATATCCTTGCCTCCTTTATCAAAAATAAGGTGACCATATGTGCGTGGGTTTATCTCTGGGCTTTCTATCCTGTTCCGTTGATCTATATTTCTGTTTTCGTGCCAGTACCATGCTGTCTTGATTACTGTAGCTTTGTAGTATAGTCTGAAGTCCAGGAGCCTGATTCCTCCAGCTCTGTTTTTCTTTCTCAAGATTGCTTTGGCTATTCGGGGTCTTTTGTGTTTCCATACAAATTGTGAAAATTTTTGTTCTAGTTCTGTGAAAAATGCCATTGGTAGTTTGAGAGGGATAGCATTGAATCTGTAAATTGCTTTGGGTAGTATAGTCATTTTCACAACATTGATTCTTCCAATCCAGGAACATGGTATATATCTCCATCTGTTTGTATCATCTTTAATTTCTTTCATCAGTGTCTTACAGTTTTCTGCATACAAGTCTTTTGTCTCCTTTGGTAGGTTTATTCCTAGGTATTTTATTCTTTTTGTTGCAGCGGTAAATGGGAGTGTTTCCTTAATTTCTCTTTCAGATTTTTCATCATTAGTGTATAGAAATGCAAGAGATTTCTGTGCATTAATGTTGTATCCTGCAACTTTACCAAATTCATTGATTAGCTCTAGTAGTTTTCTGGTAGCATCTTTAGGATTCTCTATGTATAGTATCATGTCATCTGCAAACAGTGACAGCTTTACTTCTTCTTTCTGTTTTGGATTCCTTTTATTTATTTTTCTTCTCTGATTGCTGTGGCTAAAACTTCCAAAACTATGTTGAATAATAGTGGTGAGAGTGGACAACCTTGTCTTGTTCCTGATCTTAGTGGAAGTGGTTTCAGTTTTTCACCATTGAGAACGATGTTGGCTGTGGGTTTGTCATATATGACCTTTATTATGTTGAGGTAGGTTCCCTCTATGCCTACTTTCTGGAGGGTTTTTATCATAAATGGGTGTTGAATTTTGTTAAAAGCTTTTTCTGCATCTATTGAGATGATCATATGGTTTTTCTCCTTCAATTTGTTAATATGGTATATCACATTGATTCATATGCATATATTGAAGAATCCTTGTATTCCTGGGATAAACCCCACTTGATCATGGTGTATGATCCTTTTAATGTGCTGTTGGATTCTGTGTGCTAGTATTTTGTTGAGGATTTTTGCATCTATGTTCATCAGTGACATTGGCCTGTAGTTTTCTTTTTTTATGACATCTTTGTCTGGTTTTGGTATCAGGGTGATGGTAGCCTCATAGAATGAGTTTGGGAGTGTTTCTCCCTCTACTATATTTTGGAAGAGTTTGAGAAGTTTAGGTGTTAGCTCTTCTGTAAATTTTTGATAGAATTCGCCTGTGAAGCCATCTGGTCCTTGGCTTTTGTTTGTTGGAAGATTTTTAATCACAGTTTCAATTTCAGTGTTTGTGACTGGTCTGTTTATATTTCCTATTTCTTCCTGTTTCAGTCTCAGAAGGTTGTGCTTTTCTAAGAATTTGTCCATTTCTTCCAGGTTTTCCATTCTATTGACATATAGTTCCTTGTAGTAATCTCTCATGATCCTTTGTATTTCTACAGTGTCCGTTGTTACTTCTCCGTTTTCATTTCTAATTCTGTTGATTTGAGTCTTCTCTCTTTTTTTCTTGATGAGTCTGGCTAATGGTTTATCAATTTTGTGTATCTTCTCAAAGAACCAGCTTTGAGTTTTATTGATCTTTGCTATTGTTTCCTTCTTGCCTTTTTCATTTATTTCTGATCTGATCTTTATGATTTCTTTTCTTCTGCTAACTTTGGGGTTTTTTTGTTCTTCTTTCTCGAATTGCTTTAGGTGTAAGGTTAGGTTGTTTATTTGAGATATTTCTTGTTTTTTGAGGTAGGATTGTATTGCTCTAAACTTCCCTCTTAGAACTGCTTTAGCTGCATCCCATAAGTTTTGGGTCATCATGTTTTTCACTGTCATTTGTTTCTAGGTAGTTTTTGATTTCCTCTTTGAT